ATCCATCGTATTCATATCCTGGCACCCCGCCGGATCTCTTCCTCATTACCCGAGACACACCAAACATCAGCCAGGAGGTCTGGCAGAATTTTCAACCAGATCAATTATTCCCTGCTGACACTCAGGTCAACTTTCCGCAAATGTCGCCGATGCAGAATCACAGTCTTGTAGATCCTGCGTTAAGTCAGCCCCAAAACATGTCTATTCCCCAGCATTCACAGCAGCAGGCGGCGGGCGGTCAGCAGTCGATCTCAACCGCGCAGGCCAATGTAGGCATGCCCTCTGGGTATGATAGTAACAATAATCAAGCTTGGCAACAGCAGATGGAGATGATGTCTCAAAATCAACAACAGCACGGTGGACAGGACGATGCTTGGAGCAATAGTTCTGGGGGTAGACACAATCCTATTGTACCCATGAGCCTGAATGTAGATGACTGGTATGTTGTGTTTCTGATTCTTTTCTTCATCTCACTAACGTTCTGGGATAGGTTCAACTTCTTTGGCATCAACGGCGAGACTGACATGTCACACCTGTTTCAACAAGGTCCTTCATAACCCTTTTAATCATATGCAGTATATTGTGCATTTTCGAGTTGGCGTCGTAGCTAGGCGCCATTTTGCAGGAGAAAGCATCTCAAGGCGTTTGATGAGTCCGCATCCTATGGACGTGTTTCTTCCTAGTCCTGAAATGTAAATGTAGCTAGGATAATCTGTATACCATGTCAAAATAACCAATTCACAAGATTTAAGCTCGCCTAGTCACAATCAAGTTTTTGATGTGCGTCTTGTCTACGCGCCACCATTTGATAAATTAAAGCTTGGTGTTTGGTTGTACATGCTCAGTGTATTCCAGTAGGATTCAAATGCCATGATGATGTTGCGATCCGTGGTTTTTTGTTGAAATGCTCGCCAAGAGAAGAATGAATTGTCCCTAGTTTGGTTTGATACGATCTAGTAACTTCATCATACTTAGCGAAATGGCAATACGCCGTTAATTTAAATTAATAGAAACACAAATACTATGACAAACCTTCACTAACGTTTCCAAACTTGCAGGCCTCAGTGCTCGATACTTTGCGGTTGCCGCAGATGATCCACCGGTTGCCGTTCCCCGCATTTGGTGCTAAACCTGATTTGGCCTAGCACACTTTGGCTTTCGGAACCTCCAACATCATGCACGCGAGACGGACCAGAACAACGTGAGCCAGACGCATCCACGCACACAGGAGTTGGCTGGCAATACTGGAATCAGGTTTGTGACAATTTCTTAGCGCACACCTCTTGTCGTTCCCCTTTCCCCTCCTTAATCTGTAAAGCTCGAATTGGAGTCGCACCACGCCGCACGTCGCAACCGAGCTACCGTCATTGCGCCTTACGGCCTCACTCACGAAGCAGTTGCATCATCACCTATTCACTTTGTCGCTGCTATCACCGCTCGTGCTCTGTAAAATCTCATACCTCTAGTGTTGTTACCTGCGGCGCAGCTCAAAGTCCAGTATTTTAATAATACCATACTGACCACCCTGTCACTATAGATTCGAGTCCAGAACCACGACGACGTACGTCTTTGGCGATGTTTCAAGCACAACAGAATCAGGGACGTGGGGCTCCCCTAGGCGCGAATCGGTTACAAAACGGAAAGATGGGTGAGAATGCTCTCGAAGGGATAGATACATCAGTAGGCTGACCTCGGTTTGCGGGTAGGAGGCGGGTCTCAATGGGGATTTGGAGCCCCCATGGGGGCACCAGGACTATCAAACGCTCAAACAAGGACAAACAACGGCGCCATGTCAAGCTTTGCGCAAGCAATGGGTGGTTCACAGCCACACACGCCGTTGAATCTTGAGTAAGCCTCTCTTTACAACGACGAAGAAGACACAAAAGGATTGTGGGGCAAGAGGAAGTCTGATACATGGAAAATGGTGGAATATACAAAGCATGATTTGGATGTTGACAAATTACAGGGAGTTCCCCTCGTTATCAGGTGCGCCGCAAACGCAGCAAAATACGTCTGCGCAACAGATGTGGGCAAACCCGACGCTACGAACAACACAGCAGAATCAGCAAAACACGATAGGAAGGCCACAAGGACAAGGCCAACAGCAAGGTCAGGGGCAGGCTGGGCAAGCTTCAAATCAGCAACATCAAAACCAGGGCCAGGATGATTCGTCACAAAGCCAGTTTTCGGGAGCCGGCGATGACTACCGATTCGGCGGACAGGGTGGTGTCGGTCAACTCGGAGGCGTCCAACCGCAGACGGGCAACATTGACGAGTTTCCACCGTTAGGTGGCGGTGGTGGCGACATTGCCCCAGATCGAAGAGCGGGGTTAATACAGAATGCTGCGGCATTTGGGACCAACGCGAATGCTTTCCCAGGACTCGGGCAAACACGGAATGGTCTTTCAAGTCCGACAGACAGCCAGCAAGATCGGGGCATCAATCCCACTGTAGGTGGAAGGGGGCTTCCAGGTGGAGGTAGGCAAATGCAAGATCGCATGCAAATCCAGTCACTCACGCAATCAGCATCGCGAACACCGTTCGAAAACATGCGAGCAGGCAACCCTTCAGACGTATGTGCCCTGTGAGATAAAGCAGCGCGCTAGCTAATAGCATGAAGAGCAACCAACGGACAGCCCAGTCTGGCAACATGTTCTCCCTGGGGCACCAGATAGGAATGCGGAGTGGTGGTGATCTTGCTCCGGGTGCTCAACGGGCCCAGCAAGGCCAGTTTGAGCAAACATTTGGGGCTGATGCTATGGGCTCGCCAAATGCTCAGAGTATGCCACACAAGAAACTATCAGAGATGACCGACTCAGAACGATATGGGTTACCCGGACTTTTATCTATGATTCCGATGGAGAGTCCTGATTACTCAACCCTAGCCATGGGCCAAGATTTGACTGTTCTGGGCTTGGATTTGAGCCGACCTGAGTGTGTGCCATTCCATGCATTGCGTATTCTTGCTAACAGCGCCTTACAGCAACTTGCCACTACATCCAACTTTTGGTTCACCCTTTGTCGAATCAAACGTCAAGCCAGTAATACCTCCAGATTTCACCCTTCCAGCAGCGTACACAGTGACAAATGTGCCGCCACTCCATTCCAAGATGACAAGCTTTTCAGCAGAAACTCTCCTCGCCATCTTCTACCAGTATCCAAGAGACATCCTACAGGAAATCGCCGCACAAGAACTGTACAACCGCGACTGGCGATGGCATATCAAGCTCCAGCAGTGGATGATGAAAGATCCAGATCTCCCAGCGCCCATCCGTCTCTCACCAAAGGAAGAACGCGGCTGGTATCTCTTCTTTGACGTCAACAACTGGAGGAGAGAGAGGGTGCGTAAATCTTTGTGTGTCTATTTTGAAATATATATATCTGACATTCAAACCAGAGAGAGTTCGAACTCAACTATGATCACCTCGATCAACGCCATGGCAGCCCGGCAATGACGGGACAGATGTAGGGAGCCTGTGACGCTCAACAGGCAACAACTGTATAGTTACGATAGATGTAGCAAAGGGCATATGGCTGCTCTGGTGGAAGGGGGAGGGAGATTTTGTAATTGCTGCATTGCAAAGAATGAGAAGCTCCTGATGTGCATGATCGGGCTGTTCATGATTCGATTTCGTATTCTTGTGCGTTTTTTTGTTGTGATGTGATGTGATGTGACGAGTAGTACTTTTTCAAGTGATTGTGCATACACCCTTTTTATGTATTTTGGTTTCTCAAGTTCGGAAATATTTACACTACTTATTTGATCGACTTTTACCTAATTTCTACATCAACATTTGCTTTAGCACTTTTTTACTATTTTTATTTATTTTGATTTTCGCTCCAGCAAAAAAAAATATTATCGTGATCGGAATCACACACCAGCGAAACGCCCCCCCCCAAGTCTCTCTTGAAATATAAAAAACCTTCGGTCAACTATGATTGGAACTGGAAAAATAATTGAAAAAACCTCTCCTACATCAATCATCGCTCTACTTTTTAACCATCGCGGAACAAAAGGAACTACATCAGTATCTCTCTCTCTCTCTCTCTCTCTCTTTCTTCACCCTCAAATCGCTTTTTTTGTCGACAAATCACCAAGGCATAGATATATTTACTCATTTACCAAACAACCACCTCCATCGCCTTTATTTATACCTTCTCAACTCATCCAACTGAAATAGTAAAAACAAAGAAAACCCCTTTCCTTTAAACCACACTCATCGCAGCAGGAACATGTGTATTACCTAGTTAGTCAACTCACCGCAAATCCTGTTACATTGTGACTCTAGAGTCAAACATCTCGTCGTATAAATTTCTTTTTCTTTTGCGCAATGTGAAAACAATGGGTTCAGGAAAGGTAAAAAGTGGTTAACACGGTAAAAACTATTTAGTACCGATTTTTGTTACATATATTCTTTCTACTCTAATTTCGAAAAGAAAACAATAACACGGGTGTGGCAAAAGGGGAATATAGACCGGGGTAGCTACCAACACATATGCTTATATTGTAAAACATTTTCCTTTCGGGGACACGCGGACGCGCGAGACGTAGAATATACAGTGCCGTCACACTGCCTGCCTTGCCTATTCACTAATGAGGGAAGGGGGGGGGGGGGCGTGGCGGGGGTTGTCGTTCAATGTACAGTTATCATCTTGTTGTAGCCCGCCTCATCGATAGAAGGGACCGCTGTTTCTTTTGAATGGAGTTTTTAGACCATGCAAATTCCCATGGACTAAACCTTATATGTGAGCGGCTGAACAAAGGAGGCGGAAGAGATAGCGTGGAGAAACCAAACTATGTGTCGTAGCTCGAAGAGTACAGGATACACACACGTAACGTACTTTATTTATGAACACAGCGGCTGAAGAATTTAGGCAGGAGGTTATGCGAAGGAAAAATGAATAGCGAACTACAAACTTGTGCTGGTTCCAGTGTCTGATAATTTAAAGGGTATTTCAAGCCGTAACAGAAAGGTCTTGTGACTATACTGCAGTCAAAAATGTCGAATCCTCCTTGCACATTCTCTGATGAAGAGGGAAAAAAAGGGGGGCACCATGGAGACCCTGAAATCCGATACTTCAAGGCGCTCCTCATGACCCATGCGCTTTCAGGCGCCATTAGTGGCCGCTTTCCTAGGCTGGCTGCTCATGATACCCTAACGGGCGCTATCAGCATGCAAGTAAGAGGAGACATATCGTCGGTATGAATAGAAAACTAAGCTCAGAGCCATATCTGCCTGTCATGCTGCTGACTCCGCATGAGACATGTCTGCCAAAGTGTTATGATTTCTGATTTTCTTCCCCGTCCTGCAACTGGCATGCTGTGAAAGGCGCTAGATGATCATATCACGACAAACCGATAGACCGGCAGGCAGATGGGGCGGAGGTGGGCCTTTGCATCATGCATATCCCAAGAGACAGTGCCAACCCGTCTTATTGTCTTCTTTTTCGGAGGGAAGAGGTGGAAAACAAAGGAAAATTCGTACCCCATACAGCGAACAGACCATGCGCTAGGAATATTTCGAAGGGGGAGAAAAGAAAGCAAAGTGGATTCTGGTATCGTCCCATATTCATGTACCGTAACTGCACGTTTGATAGGATGATAGGGGAAGAGTTTGCCACCGCCATGTAGTCATTGGGTTTCTTTGACACCCGAAGTCTCTAGTCGTTAGAAAGTCATTCGGGTTGTTGTTCGAGATTTTCATTTGAAAATCGGACACGAGAACAAAGTATGACGAGATTCTGCAGCATGTCAGGGTTGCTAACATATCCAACAGTTGGCGCTCCATGGTACGGACATCAGCGGAGACGCCGGGATGGGTTGAAGTTGCGAACGACATTCTCCTGAAAACTGCTGATAGTCATAGCTTCGGAGGTACCCAGCTGAGTCGAAAATTTCCCAAACGCAAGACCTATTGGTATGGACAAGGACCGGGTTTCTGCCCTTCCTTCTCACCAAGTCGGATGCCAAGAAGAATGGTTGGTTCCTCTTACGATTTTGAAGATAATCCCTAGAAAAAAGCCCGGAACGACCGGCAGTTGGTGCGTTGTCATTGTTTGTTTCATTGCTGCAGCCGCTGCCTTGGCCAATTTGGATCAAAGGGATTACGACAGCTCACATTGACGGCATGTCTAGTGCCAGCTGCTGTGTTCAGCTGACACAAATCACGAATAGCCTGCAGTTTCCAGGGGTAGATGATGGTCTGGCATATGGTCCCGTTTATTTCAAATGGCGGTCCAACGAAAGTGTCCAACGACAACGGGGTGAGATGAGCATTAGCCATGATCCAAATTAGCTACACTCGGTGGGTATAGTCGATACCCACTGGATAGTCACTCGACGCAGAAACAATGCTTGTTTGGAGCGGGGTTGGCGTTGTGGAGTCAATACAGCATCTGAATGTCGCGGAACTGTGGCGTCGCTGATTGCCCGTCCCCGGATTAAAGGATTTAGTGTTCTAACAGTTTTGTGGGGAACAGGCGTATCTTGTGACGGCTCTCGTGTTGTTGTCTCTCTATAAGCCGTTTTTTAGGCTTAGACTTGAACCACAGAGGAATGTGACTTGTGTGGCTAATCAAATCTCGTAATGAACGCCTGACCGGTGATGTCCCGATTTGGGAAGGAAGGAGCTGTCCCCATTCATAGCCGCATGATTGACTTCCACAACATCTGCACAGACCAATCGTTCTTGAAGTGAGCCGGCAGATGTGTGGCTATAGAGTGTGTTTGTCGTACGCGTAGATCTCGGGAAGTGACCGAAACTGGCGCTCAAAGGCTGTAGGCATAGCCTGTCTGCTTAGATATCAAATTCGGCTTTTTGGTGCCCTCTACTTGCTAAAGAAACCAGGACCAGACTGAAAAGCCTTTGTTGTGAAGTCTTGGCTGACGTGTACGAGAGGCAGAAGATCATACGTTTAACCAGAGAAGCCCTCTGTACGTCATGTAGGCGCGGCGCTGGCATTTAGCTATCCTAGATGTATACGCCCCCATCGATAAGTGGTTGGAGGGGCTATCGAATTTTCTCTGGAGCACCAATTAACAAGGTGTTTGACGTTGATTTTGTGATTGTGCGGATGCTATCGGCCGCTCCGTACGACGCCAACGTTCGCTACCGAGCTGTGATGCTGCTAGCCAAACCGAATTTCATATTAGTATGGATTGAGGGAGTAGTAGTCTTGGACATTGTGTGATACTGACATGCCAGAATGCTAATCGAAATCTCAGTCTCTTCGGCTGTTGAAGACATGGATGCCATGGCAATCTGGTTGTGCAGATCTGCGCCTTGCGGAACACTAATGGACATTGCAGACAAAGGGTGCACGAACGTTTCTAAGCCGGAAGTCGAATCAAAGTAGAGTTTATCGCCTCCTAGCGACTCGGGTAGCCGTTGGCGTAAGCTGTGCTGGTTCAACAGTTCCACTGGATCCGTTGTGCGAGTCTTCGGTCCGTAGAAGATGAGCGGTTCGCGCACTTAGGCTAGCTGTCATCCTGTAATCGAAGTCAATTCTAGTCTCGTGTTCTCTGCGCCAAATGGGCTGATCGAGGAACGCGCTGAAGGTACGACAAGACAAGCCCATAGCGGCATCACCTGCGCTCGCTCACGCACAAGGTAGAGAAGGAGCCCATGTTTGCAAGAAAACAAGTGAGATGCGTATGAGTTGGCTACCGCTTCACTCATAGAGCCAGCGAAATGCTAGCTCAACTATGAACGGTCCCCGGCGTAATATCGGCGTGGGTGCTGCCATCAGTCGTCGCAGGTCCTCCATCAAAGAAGAGTTTGCGTCGGCGGGTCCGATGGCTAAACCCCTTGAATTTGGTTGGCGAATCTACAGACGGGCTATCCAATCGTAACCCATTGCCCCGTGGTAGGCAAATTTGGCTTCATTGTTGATTGTAGACGCTGGTTTCATCGTCGATGATTCATACCATTACGGGAAGATGGATTGCTCAGTTCAAACAAGCATCGACCCAGGTTAGATTTTTTTCGGTCATTTGATCAGAGAGACCCGGAATAGCAGTGCTTGTGCGACAGCTCATACGCAATAATCAACAGACAGCAATCGTGCCAGCGTGGCAACCATGCAGCGTCCAGCCTTTGTCGAGTCGGCTGAGACAATCGAGAAGGGTCTATGATGTTTTCTGGTTTTCGGACAATGCATTTGAGGCGGCTGCAAGTCGCCATGAATCTATCGATCATGACGACTGCTTTGATGCCAGTCATGAGTGTCACGGGACAGACGGGAGGCGGCAGCTGGCTGTGTTTCAATAGTAGACGCCGCGCAGGGCCGTCGAGTGCTTGGTGACCTCCAAGTGCACAGTGAAATCTCTCGAAGGGGCAACCTCCTGAGCCCTCTCAGCCACCGTACCCATCTTTGCTTTCAACGGCTGTCGTGCTAGGATGCAAGAGATGCTATGGCAAGTGCCGAAATCGCCAGGAAGAGCGCGCACAAAGTGCGGTGAAGTGCTCGGAAAATAAGCGGCAGGCGTGCCTCTGCATCTCCCCTCGGAGAAGGCGTCAGATGACGGACCGGAAGTGGAAAGCGAAGATGAGGGCCCGGAACAAATTCATGTTGGCTGATGCGGCAAGCCTGGCGGCCTGCGTCTCTCACTCGAGAAGCTGATGACAAGCTGGCGATCGGGTTAGGGCGGACATGAGCCTTTTACCTCGAGGCAGGGAATGCAATGCGAAGAAGTGGGAACCCATGGCGCGTCAGCCCCCATGGCGGCGCGGTGGACGGCTGCAACGTGCAAGACAGACACATGAACGCGAGGGAGCATGGGAAGTGAGATGTCGTCCCACAAGCATCGGCCGTCTCCGTCTGGGCCAGGAGAGAGCCTCGTTGTGTCGAGGCTGCTGGCGCGGTTTGTACATAGATAGCTGGACACGCAGACACGATGACGGTGCGGTGGGGGGTTGGGGAGTTTGCGGACGAGTGTCGTACAACGGGGAGCAGCAGGCGCCAAGAACAGGCTAGTACCGAAAGAGGGAAGAGGCGGGTACAAGCGGGGGGAAAGGGCAGCCGCGGGAAGGTGCACGTCACCACCGGGCGGTCCTTCCCGATTCCCTGCCCTGCCCTGCCATCGATGCCCTTGGTCGTTCGCTCGTCCGCCCGCCTAGCCTGTGTATTGCCTGTCCGTCGTGTCAACAATCCAAGGGAGCCGCCGCCGCGGAGGGCGACGGCGGCCCTTCGCTCTCGCTCTGCGCCATCGTCCCCCCTTGGCCCCCACCCCCTCTCTGACCACCACTACCACCGCTACCCCCTACCATGCCCCCAGTCTCAATATGCCGTTCGCCGCGTCCGTCTCGTACCGTAGCCCGACAAGCAGCCGCTGACACTATGTGACTTGCTGCAGCCGCTGGGAGCACTGCCTGGCTCTACCCGCTTTCGGAGCTTTGCACAGTCAACCAACCACTATGTCGGGTCGGCGTGTGAGCGCCTGTGTGTGTGCATGGATGAGAGCGCGGTGGGCAGGAAAATGGGCGCTGGAAGCCTCTGTTCTGGCGCTGCGAGATGCTCTAACCCAAACATCCAGGCGCTGCAACACCTGCGCATCACTCGCTGGCCGTGGCGCCCGTATGTGTGTGCATGTGTGCGTGAAAGTGTGTGCATGTCCCAGCATTCTCCTCCTCATCGTCATCTCCAGTCACCTCGAGCGGCTCCCTCCAGGCCAGGTAGTCTTGTTGCGCTCGCTCTCTGTGACAAGCAGTGGGCCTGAGCCTGATCCCACTTTCGCTGTCTGGTACTCTCCTTCACCCTCAACCCGCGGGATGACCTGTCGTCTGCCAGCGGCTCTCGGCCCGTGGCGCTCCTAGCTGCGCCTGGACTGGGCCTCTCCACCACCGGCTGCTGAGTGGACGCCGCCCGTGACTGATGATCCAATGCAGCGAGGCTGTGGCAAGAGTGAGAGCAAACTATGGTCATCTGTCTGCTCCATGGGCTATTCTGAGCGGCTGGCCCAGAGATGAAACATCGACGACCCAGCACTGCGGTAGTTAACCTGTCGTGTCGAGTCGGGCCCCGATCGGAGCATACTGTTGTAGTCAATGTTCCTGCATCGCTGCACGGGACTGTGATGCCTTTGCTGGCCGAGCCAATCGACGGGCCGTGAGGCGGTGGGTCAGAGAGCAAGGGAGTGCTAAGCTCAGCGAGAGCCAGAAGTCTATTCGAGCTCTGTGAATCGAGTCATTGGCGAAGACGATCCCTCCCTGGCTTCGGAGATATTCACTCCCTGCTTCGGGAAAGGCTAGTTGCTGCAGTTTGCAAATGTTACCGTGGTGCTAGAAAACGGCCATCGTCTGAGCAATACGGATGATTTGCTTGGGGCTGAATCTTGATCCGGCACGCCTACCATGCATGCCTCATGCCTACACTCACTTGGCAGGCACTTCTTCTGAGCCAACAGATCCGTCATGGCCCTAGTCTGCCTCTACCCCATATCGAGCTGTAGCGCTGTCGGCCTGTCAACAGTACTTCTACTGCCCGCTCTTATTCGGCGGCCTTTGGTATCCTTGACACACCCTTCCCATATCCCATCTTGTCCGTCACCACTCACTTCCCCGGACCCACTATTTCCAGCAATCTCCTCCAAATCATTATCTTGACACCACAAACCGGTACCCTACCAGCTTCGCAGGTCACGGGGCTGTTGATCCTGGTGACCTTGTGCAACATCCCGAAAGCAAGAGATGAATTTCAAGTAGAGAGTACAGGGCATATATGCTTCAACCCCTACACCGTACAATTCTTATACATACCGAGCCAGGCTCATATCCACTACTACTTGACCGTGGTATTGTCCTTGTTTGTCCAAGCTATACTCGATAACTTTCACCCCAGGGTAGACAGCACACGTTTTGTCTGTCGACGATCAGCGCAGATCCCGGAGTTGCCTCTAGATTGCTCACTTTCCGACTACAAGCCATCATTCCTGTGGCAACAGCCACGATTGAATAGCAGTTGACGCCACATAATCTCTTTTAGAAAACGACTGCATAACCTGGTAAGTTCGAAACCGTATGGCGCGACATACGCCTCGATTCGACTTTGCGAGATTGACAATTGATAGTATACAACGTCAAAGTGGTCCCCTTCCCACATTTATCACCACCAGAAACTCCTGGCACCAAACGGCGGGGCTACGATTTGTACCTGTCTGTGCTCTGGATTTGACATTCCGGATTCCTGGAGAGTGCGGCAAGAAACAAAGCGCAACTGTGGGTCTTTCACCCTGCGGAGACAAGTCGTTCGACTCTCAGGGCGTCGCGTAGCCGCTGCGAGCGACATCAACACATACTACACTGCATCGCACGTCCCTCAAAAAAAACCAAGCCTGTCAGTCCATCTTCTCCTCCTCCGTTGCCACGGCCAGCGCATTGACAAGACGAAGCATTGGGGCCAATACAGGCGTTGCAATATCTCCGTCATCAAGCTGAGCGGCGCGTCCCTCACAAGTCCAAGGTGCGAATCAACGGCCGCACTGCGGTGACTGCTTCTGATTTACTGCACACACTCTACTCAGGCCGAGCACCAGCGTCAATAGAGCCTGGCTCCCCCAGTAAAGCGCAGCGGCAGCTAATCGAGGATCCATTCGACCCTTGTGCCGGCTAAACCACAGAGATTGCCTGAAGCGAACCAACAGCGGCTCTAAACGAGCTTGCCCGGCTTGACCACCATCCCGTTTCAGCAACCCTCTCGCAGCCGCCCCGGCGCGCCGAAACTTACCATTAGAACCGCTACGCAAGCCGCTGACTCGCTTGATCGATCCGCATCTTAGGCCACGGTGCGAAGCAGTTCGGCTGTAGCGGACTTCTGTCAGCAGCGAATCCTCTCGCCACTGCCGGCGCCATTGAATTGGACCCAGTCTGTCGGGATTCCGGTGCAGAATTTCCAGAGCAGAGAGGGCGGCATTAGATTGAGTCGCTTGCAAGGCACATTGCCCTCCCGCGGGCTCTCTTCGGCATCGACCATACATAGCAAAGCGGCAGTGCGTCGATTGCTTGATACCATGATGAATCAAGGTAAGTCAGATTCGCACGTATTTTCAGCCCACATGCAGCATATCGACAAAAAGATTGCCATCCCATCATCCCATCCCTTTCCCTCAGTCGTTAGCTCTAAGCGCTGCACTCGTCCAGCCCTCACCTTGCGCTGTTCTCCGCACTATTTCCACGCCCGTCATTCCTGCATTCACTTGTATATTGCACCACAACACGTCCAGTGCATCGGCTGTTCGCCGACCCCTCTTCCCACGGCAGCACGCTACAGACGTGGTATTTTGCCCATCCGTACAGTCTGCTTTTGCACGCTTGTTCTGCCACCAGGTCGCTGTGCCGCGTGTGCGACGGTGTCCCACACGTGCCCCCATCTACGCTCCATTGCGCACCTGTGCACGTTGCCCGTTGTTGTCACACGTCTTGTTCAACAGCACACTGTTTGGGTGAAGTCGATTGGCTGACGTGCAGGATAAGCAGTGCTGCAACCATCGCCGTCATTGGCATCGGAAAACCCTTTCTCTTCGGAGGAAGGGTATATCGATCATATTGGCGCGCATGCACATCACAACTCATTCGCAAGCGTATCCGATCAGTTCAGGCGCGAGCCAGTCCTGGCACACCCAGCAGCCGGTCTCCACCAAGGCTCGATTGCAGGCTGCTACGGTACACATCGTCCCGACAGTGCGTAAGTATGAAAGCTCTCATTGGCTGTTTCCTTCCCGTCTGGCATGGCAGGCTCGGTGGTGTTGCCTAGCCCTGTGGCCCCCGAACCTGCATCGCTCGACGCCTCTCTCGCCCGGTGCAGCCCAAGCGTAGCCTTCCCCTACTCCGAAACAAACACGTCGTCAATGTCCTCGATCATAATCGCCGTCGCACACGTAACAGATGCATGGCATACTCGGTCTTCCCAACAGGCCGGTCTATCGTATTGATCACACGACAAATCTCGCGGTAATGCCGTACCGCCCCTGGCCTGCTTGACGACTTAAATCGTGCCACCCTACCGGCTGGTTACACATGGTTATCGTTGACATCACTCTGGTCAAATGGTTTGTTTTGTGAATTAGACTGACTCGTGCTTGTAGCTATCAGGCGAGTGCGGCTCTTTCAGACTCAGGGTCTGCGTCGATTAGTACTTCACCTAGTTCAACTGCCTCTTCGGCACTAGCACACTCGTACGCAACATTTCCGCAGACGGTTGCAACAACTTATCCCAGCCATTTCCCCCTAGTGTTCAACCCTGTCTGGGGGAACGGCGGCAGCATGTCCTCGACTCGACGACTGTAAGTATTTCAAGATTTCGCACTCGAGCGTGTGCAACCCGACAGGCATGCACGACCGCTGACGACTACATGGTAGAAATGATGCATCGTCCACAGGCATGTTACCCACAGCAAGATCACCGGGGCTAGGTCACTCTGTGTCACCGTCCGTGGGTTCATCGGCGAGAGACAGCTATACGACAGGGACGTCTGCCATGCATAGATATTCACACACCCTATCCCCTCGCTCCGATCTGTCTGGCTACATCTCCCAGCCCGACACTCCCAGGAGTGTACTTCCGACAAGTATGCCGTTAACTAATTACAACAACGGCTACCACACGAGTGCCTATGTACCGCCCACCGGTTCACCTGAATCGCCGCCGTTCAATGCACAGTCGACCTGGGGCACAATCGTCTGCGAAGGTACCACGGTGACACCCACCCTCGACGCCAAGGTTGAAAAGGGCTTCTTCTTTTCAAGCGACCGCGTATGGACGTGCTATCGGCGGAACTACTTTTCAGTAAATGTGTCGTATCAACTCTCGCCATGGACTCCCAACGGACGTCTGTACCTAGATCAGAATAATGGCAAGCCAAGCGAGCAAATACAGTCGATGGCTGTTTCGCTTGGAGCTGCTGTAGACGGAGCATCGGGAAAGACAATTGAGCTGGTTCAGCATACTCCAAAGCGCGACAAGGGCCCCCAGCTAACCATGAAGAAGGAGCTGGTGGCACCGACACCACCAGGCAAAAGTCATGAGCACGGTAGTTATGCGCTAAACAGCTTCCACCAAACCTCGGCAGTAGCAGGCCCTCATCTTCCGCTGCAAAACGAGAACGAGTCCCAGCAATATTCTCCCACAGGCCATGGTAGTAGCAACTACCAGCATTCGTTTGAGCGCATCCAGTTCAAATCGGCAACGGCCAACAACGGCAAGCGTCGAGCGCAACAACAGTACTACCATCTGATTGTAGAGCTGTGGGCGAATGTACAGAAGCCGCAGGAGGATGGGCCAAGGTGGGTCAAGGTGGCAGCTCGCTTGTCCCACCCGGTCGTTGTCCGGGGACGGTCGCCCAGTCATTATCAGAACGAAGGTCCGCACAATGCCAGCGCATCCAGAGGTGCACCTGGCTCAGGCTTGGGTGGCAACGGCCATCATGGGTTAGGGTCCAACGGCCGCACGTCCTACTCAAGCTACGGCAACGCCATGTCTGGTAGTGGTACGACAGGCATGGGCGGGAGCATGTATCGTGGCAACACATACTCGCTGGATCCGAGTCCGGTTGGCAGCCATTCAATCAGTTCGTCAAGCTCTTTGAGTGGGGGAAACATTCAAGGAATCGTTGGTGACCAACAAATGGTCGAAGACAGTGACAGCAAGATGATGGACCCACCGCAAGACTACTCGTACTACCCAGCCCCTATCTACGAGAGCACCGCAAGCAAGTATGAAGGTGCACTTCCGCCACCAGATCGCAGGGTCAAGGAAGAATATCCTAGTGCTGCGTGGCAAGGGGGAGGGTGCGGCCGATTCCAGGGCATAGAAAGCAGCCGAGGCTATTATCCTGATGTCCAAACGCACACGTATTGAGATTGCAGATTCTGTGGCGGCCTTTTTTTTTGTTGATGTTACAGAGCGAGGATGGCCTGGCCAAGACAAATTGGATGGATTCCCCTCGCAACCGCCCCGCACTTGGACTAGGCTTGGAGCGAACGACACACAGACCGATGTTATGCATACCACGGCCGAGTATAGATTGGCAGTATGAGAGGGGTGTATGTTACATTGCGCTCGACACAGGCTGCACGGGGGCCAGGCACCAGCATGCTAGCCGCAGTGCAACACTCAGGGTATTAGTACATTTGGTACACCTATGCTCAACATGCTTGGTTGCGGTACTGTCACTGGTGATAGATGGACCAAGCGCTGTAGCTGCAATGGGTATGTGGTGAATGGCGCGTTGCTGGTTTGCTTTTGCTTCGTTCTTTTCTCCCACACACGCACACACACACAACTCTCATTGTTAATCATGCACCATGTCGCGGCGCTGAGCCCCTCATGGCACGACGAAAGCACGACTCGATTTCACTTTTCTTATTTCCTTTTCGGGTACTATTTGCAGATTCATGTTTTCTTTTTCTCCTTTCTTTTTTTACGATGGCCGGTTTCGGGGTATAAAAGAGGAGTGCAAACAGGTGTTCATGGAGATGCAGGCATGGGTACTGGGCACTCTCATGGTTGTGTATGTGCATGGCGCATGGCGCATGAGGGCTGAAAAAGCATCTGGTCGTCCCCTCTTTGCCCGTTTGGGCCGTTTCTGGCCAGCCTGCTTGGGTGTGTATGTGTGCCAATGGGCTTTGAAGAGAGGCCAGATGAGGTTTTTGTGAGTAATGAGTGGCTATGACACGTGTTATCCAGGGCTGGGTATTGAAAGTGGGGAGGGGGGCGGCAGACGGGAGGATGGGAAATGCACGCGCAGGCTGATGATGGCGGCCCCTTGTCTGTTGTATGATTATGTAGCGTCCTAAAAGCTCTGTGCTAGTTGTGCGAATGCAGGCGGCCCCAGTTTTGTTTGACGGCCCGGAGCGTGGTTTTTGCTTTTTTGTGAAATTGTCCGCGGCGTAGTGGGCATGGTAGCGAGAGGGGTTGAGGTGAGGTTCTTGTAGGCTCTAGCGCTCCGTCTCTAGCGTGGGGTCTTTCCGCCTTCCCCCCGCCGGGCGCCCGCTCAGGGATCGGCGGCCAAAACTTTGACGGGACTGCGCGGTCTCGGCCTGCCATAGTACTTGTCACGTCATTGCAACCTCCATCACCCTGCCCTGTCCTGTCCTGCCTTGTCCTGCCTTGTCCCCATTCCGCAGCACCTTCTCTGCTGCTCCCCCAGGCACACCTGCCCACCTCCACCATGGCTTGGTACGATCAGGACAGCTGGCTGACGGCAGCCTTTGCGCCAAACCCCACGACCATAGTCGTCACGCTTCTCGTCGCCCTGTTGCTGCCAATACTAGTGCATAGCTTTCTCTACAGAAAGGCCGCCGCTGCTGCCCAGCTGCCCACCCTCCTGCTCGTCGGCCCGAGCGGAAGCGGTAAAACGGCTTTTGCGACTCTGGTATGTATTTGCTTCCCCCCCCCCCGCCACGGCCAACGCAGCCGCAGTGCATGGCCCAGCCCATGGCTAACCCAGCCCCCCTTCACAGGCTGAACGGAGCGCCTCGACCCAGACACACACGTCGACGACCCCCCTGACCGTCTCCGCCCAGCTCCCCAGCCCCCACGTCCCCGCATCCTCGCACTACCGCTCCCCAGGCGACCCAGCCTACGAACGCTCGCGCAACTTCCGCCTCCTCGACACCCCCGGCCACGGCAAACTGCGCCACCACGCCACGTCGCAACTCGCAGACCCAAAGGACATCCGCGCCATCATCTTCATGCTCGACGCTGCTCAGCTCGCCGACGACGCTGGTCTTACCGAGGCGGCCGAGTACCTCCATGACGTGCTTCTTTCGCTGCAAAAACGATACACAAATGCCACGTCGAGTAAAGGGCCCAAGGAAATCCCCGTGCTTATTGCCGCGAACAAAATGGACCTTTTTACCGCGTTGCCGGAGCATCTGGTCAGAAATTCGCTGGAGAAGGCTATTACGGAGATTAGGAATAATAGAGCCAAGGCGCTGAGGGACGGCGGCGCGGCGCTGAGTGGAGGCGAGGATGAGGTGGACGAGGACAAGGAGTGGCTTGGTGAGGGCGGCGAGGGGGCGTTTAGCTTTGAGCAGATGGGCGAGAGCAGGACGAGTGTGCAGGTTGTGGGTGGGAATGTGGTCGGTGGCAAGTCAGGGCCTGGGTTGGATGGGTGGTGGAAGTGGATTGCGGAGCAGCTTTAAGCTTGTGATTTTTTAGTGGGGGGGAGCCCTGGGAGATTAGTTAGGAGGAATTCTTTTTACAATGTGGAGCGCTGAGCATGTGTTCTATGTATTATGTATATAGATGATTCAGTTAATATTATTGATTTTTTTTTCATCTTCTGGTACGTCTGTCTCCCCCTTTTTATTTTATTTTTTGCGGGGAAAGTAGGAAAGTGCAATTGTGAAGTGTTCCTGCAAAGGTTTATGACTGTTGTTTTGTTGTTGGCTACACGTATCTAGGTTAAATGCTGGACTATTTTTAAGCAGTTTTTCTTAAAAGGTAAAATATGGCAAAAGGTAGAATTTTCAAAGACATTGTCTTTGGTATGTACTTGGTGCAAAATTTACAACTACGCTAGTTAACGTTTCGAAAGATGTATTGGCGCTTTATGTGTAAAGCGTTTCCGATGGATGGAATGTGTAGCCAGTCGTTTCGTCGTGAGTTTCATGTCTCTTATTCTCGCTCTTGCTGTTTATTTGGGAATGCTGTGGCAGTATTGGGTAAAAAGTTGCCATGTCCTGTTTGAGTCGAAAGCTTTTTGAGTCAATTCAAATCATTTGAATTTGTTGGTATGTGAAAGAAAACGGAGAAAGTGAGCATCTGGAAATACTTGCCGCTTTACCCTAAGTACTCTTAGTACTTTCTCAAATGTCTAGATATACTAGATATCTGTTGGGATCTCGCCCATGCTGACAACTCTTCCTCCAGGCTCACCCCACACAGCCTTTGACATCATACTATTCTTTTGGACTTCAGAATGGCTTGCTGAATGTTGCCACGCCCTCCTGTCTTGAACTCCCGTCCAGGGCATAAGGGTTTGGCATTTGAATCGCAGCCTTAATATCATCACCAGTCCTACGCCTTTTTTTTTGTTTTCAGAACAACCGGAATGAGACGATCCACCACTTATCGCATGACGACCCGAAATCGCTCCAGCATCCCACAACACCCGCCATCCTATATCAGCAGAGCCAAGAAAGGGTAGGGGGTATCGGAGTTCTGAAATGATGTGCTCAGATACGTTCGAAGGCATGGATAGACCCCCAGTGATCTGAATTATTCCCTCCAGTGTGGTCTGTCCCTAATTACTGGGGGTTTGAGGAGGGTGCATTCCAGCCATGCACCTATCTCCTCAAATTTGCTGATGGCTAAAGAAAAGAACAGCTGAGTACATGGTGCTTTGGGGGATGAGGGGGATTGGGGTTTTTATATTGAACAGCATCTCATATGAGTCGGCAGTATAACGGATGCAAGCTCCAGGCAGCTTTTTTCTGAGGTAGGCTTAGCCGTGGTATGTATTTCGAATCCATGCCATGCAATACGTGGAGTGATATTGGAATCCCAACGCAAATCCCCAAATCGAGTATCACAGCCATTGGATATTGAAGTGATGCGAATTAGAGTACTCAAATATGTTTATACATGGCTTACCTGTGGTATGCATGTAAAGGCAACTCGTGGGCCCATGGAAACCCAACCTCAACCTCCTTCGGACTGGCATCCTCCATATTTGGTTCCAAGCAACTATCCAAAAGCGGCGACTGAAACGAAAGGGTCAAAATTCTCCGAACATGCACAAGATTCAGTGCCAAGCGTAGGCTGTGGCTGTGCTGCCTATCACGTGGCGGAAGGAACTACTAGCGGCGGGTATTTGCGGGCCAACTCTCTGGCTTGCCGGCTAACGCAACTCAGAGCGTCTGGCCATAACGTAACTTTGCTGCCTTTTGACGTGTGGGTACTCGTCTTTTTCTATTAATTCCACGCAAAACTTTTCGCTCTCCACCAATTCAACACTCACACCGATATACCCAGAGTGCCCTTGGAGAGCACGAGAACCGCAAAAATGTCTACCAAAACGCGCCCCGCCATGCCACCCGTGGTCATGAACAGCATCATGGAACAAATTGGCAACACGCCACTCGTCCGCCTGAATAAAATCCCACAGTCGCTTGGCATCCGAGCTACCGTTTACGCAAAAGTTGAGGCTTTCAACGCTGGTGGTAGTGTCAAAGACCGCATCGCCCTGCGCATGATCGAGTCAGCAGAAAAGTCTGGTCGCATAAAGCCTGGCGACACACTCATTGAGCCTACGTCTGGTAACACTGGTATTGGACTTGCGCTAGTCGGTGCAGTCAAGGGATACAGGACAATCATTACTCTCCCCGAGAAGATGAGCCCAGAAAAGGTGGCGGTGCTCAAGGCGCTTGGCGCTGAGATTATCCGCACGCCCACCAGCGCAGCGTGGGATAGTCCCGAGAGCCACATTGGTGTTGCGCGAAGACTAGTCAAGGAAATTCCCAATGCGCATATCCTAGATCAGTACTCGAATGTCGACAACCCGCTTGCTCACGAATGCGGCACCGCTGAGGAGGTATGGGCGCAGACAGAGGGCAAGGTTACTATGCTTGTTGCTGGCGCTGGAACTGGAGGCACAATTACTGGTCTTGCACGAGGTCTGAGGAAACACAAGCAGGACGTTAAAATTGTTGCGGCCGATCCTCATGGAAGCATTCTGGCGCTACCCGCAAGTCTGAATGATGAGCATGTGAATGAGGGCTACAAAGTTGAGGGAATTGGATACGACTTCATTCCTGATGTCTTGGAGCAGAAGATTGTGGACAAGTGGTACAAGACCGACGACCGAACTTCTTTCCAGTATGCGCGCAGGTTGATTGCTGAGGAGGGTATCCTCTGCGGTGGCTCTTCTGGAAGCGCCATGGCAGCTATGGTTGAGGCGGCTCGGGACATGAACCTGACTGAAGATGATGTCGTGGTTGTCATACTACCCGACAGCATTCGCAGCTATCTCAGCAAGGTATGTCGAAATTCGGAACCTCTACCATTTATCCGTACTGACAAGTAATAGTTTGTTGATGACGACTGGCTCGCTGCCAACGATCTCCTCCCTCCCACGCCTCCACACTCACCTGACTCGAACGCACACCTTCGCCGCCTCTCCACCAGCAAGAAATCCGATCCCTTCCATGGCGCCACCATTGCTTCTCTCCGTCTGAAGCCTGTCACCACTGTCGCTGCGAACTCACCTTGCAGCGAAGCCATAGAAACCATGCGCGAAAAGGGCTTCGACCAACTGCCTGTAAGCGTATACTCGTCCTCCGGCAAGGCCCGGTTAGTAGGTCTGGTCACTCTCGGTAACCTCCTCTCATACATTGCCGCCGGCCGCGCCACACCAAAGTCGCCCGTCGAAGATGTCATGTTCGATTTCCGCAAGTTGAACGAAGTCGTCAAGGACCTTGGCCGTCTCTCACTCGACGGCGACAACGCCAAGAATACGCAAAAGGGCGACCAGAAGGGACGAAGAGAATTCGTCGAAATCACAAAGGAGACTACCTTGACCGACCTCAACAAATTCTTCGAGTGGAATAGCGCGGCCGTTGTTACGGAGCAGGTTGATGGCGAACACAGGGCTGTCGCTGTTGTTACCAAGGTGGATTTGCTGACCTGGATGGTTAGGCAGGGTGGTGCTAATGGTGCGTCGAATTAGAGATTTGCATGATTTACATGAATAGCCGGAGTTTAGAGTTTTTTTTGGGAAAATGCAAATACGAAGCTATGTAGATACGGCATGATTTAACAAGTGGGTCTATGGGTACTAGACGTACAGAGACTTCAACGTCTATGAGTATATTTGCTTGTTTTTGGGTCTGAAAGGTTGTTCATGGCAAATGATGATGATGATGATGATTATGTGAGTTGAAGTGAATCATGTTGATGTTTAGATAATTTTGATGTTTTCGCAGTGATGTATCTACTCGTTTCTGAACATTTGGAAAGTGTGGTTGGTTTTTTTCGTGTTCTCATCTACATGTTTGATGTCTACTATGTCCAGGCCGACTTTGCTAGTGTGCAGTAGGGCCAATCGAGCTATGTAGATTCATGATAGTTCAGAAATAAAAGTTAGTACATGGTTATTGGCGGAAAAGATAGTATGCAGGGTTTTTTTCCCTACAACTTCACTCAGCGCAGCCTTCAGTATAGCGATATGTTTATATTGCTTACCGTTTACCATATACTTTTGTAGTTCACTACCGGTTTCAATTAACATTCCTTACAAATAATTTTTTAATTGTTGAAGAATGCTTGGGACGAGAGCAATGGAGTTGGTCACCTGACGCTGCTATAGTACTTACGCCGCGGAGGAGTGTCAATCATTCGATAGTTGTCCAGACGGGGCCAACAGCCCCAGCCATTTCGACACAGCTCAACACAGCAATCACACAACTCAAACAACAATGATCGTGTGCTCCCGCTTAATACGATACAAAAAAAGGAAGGAACAAAGAGCATCACCTGCCTTCAAAATCTTTCCTTACTTATGCCACGGCGGCCAACACATGACACCATCCTCCCCCCCTCCCTTCCAAACACGCGTCCAAGCAATCGCATACCCAGACCGCCCGAGTTTCGCGTCGCGCACAGCTTTAGGACTGTCATGATGTAACAAGGACAAGCCCCGAGGACCGTATCGTTAGCGCGGGGCGCAACGGACGTGGGGAACCGAACTTACACTTTGCCGGGACACACACACCAGGAACAACAACCCTCACACACACACCAACAAGGGTGTGTGGTGCGTTGTGCCCCGCCGCACAACCCCTAACACGGAACTTGTCTTGAGAGGGGAATTCCATCGGGACGTGGGCGGTAAGGGGGGGGGGTGTTTCTTTCGATTCTTGTTTAGCAGGTTGTGAAACATGATGCGAATGTTTGTTTGATGCAAGTGTTTTTTGAAGTGGAGTTTCGTCACCATACGAATATAATTGATCTTTTCTTTTCCGCCTCCTCTCTTCTCGCCCTTTTTTCTTTGCACGTTTACATTTGAGTTAATCTACCCCCCGTATTGTGTTGAAGAAGACACAAAAGCGAAAGTAAATCGATTACTTACCATCATGTCGGATAACATCTATGTCAAGAGCGTGGCAGGCACCTGCATCACATTCTCTTTTATCCTCGCTGGTACGTTGCTCTATTGCTCTTCACGTCCGGAATCTCGGTCATAAGAGATATATGTACTTATATGAAGCCGTAGGAAATGCCATCACACAATCCTACATGACGGTCCCCGCCCTTCTCGTCAACTTCCCTCCCCCGGGCTCACCGGACCACAAAGACCGCGCGCGCCTCCTGGGCCGCCAATGGCCGCTCTGCTGGACAGTAGGAAATCAATTCTTCCGCCCCATTTCGACCCTCGGCTTCCTCGGGTACGCCTATGCGGGATATTCTGTGTACCGCGAGGGCATGCTTGCACGCAGCGACTGGAGGCTGTTTGGTGTTGCGGCGCTGATGCATCTGACGACGATCCTGCATTCGGCTATTAATATGCAGCCGCTGAATGATAAGTTGGAGGCGCTGGCGGAACGGACCAGTGAGAAGGAGTTGGGCGAGGCGCAAGAGATTGCGACTAAATGGGCGAGCTGGAATAGGTTGAGGTTGGTTACGCCGGTTGTGGCTGGGGGGTTGGCGCTGTGGAACTTGCTTTCTTTGTAGAGTGTTGAAAGGAGAGTCGGGTGTGCTGGAGTAGCGAGAGGAAAAGGTTGGCATTTTGCAGGTAGCTGTAGGGTGTAGTTATCCTTGATAGGATGTTATGAATGATTAGCATGGAGACAATCAAACGTTTGATTGTTATTCTGAGCCCGAGATGTCTTTTTGCATAGTGTGAAGTTTTATCTTGTTGAGAGCATGTTTTTTTGTACATAGTGATTGATTTCAAAGATTTGTGACATAACTACTCTAAGATACTTCAAAGACAAGTCTTTTGAAATGTTCATCTTAAGATGACCGTCTTGATTCGTGAATGTAGAAGGCAATAGACTACTAAAAAGGTTCAAACATTGCTAGATAAAGAAATAATTCCCAGAGACTGACAAAGGCAAGGACCTGCCAAAACATTCCAAATTCACTTGGTCGTTAAAATCTGCCAGCACAACTACCTCTTGATAGCCTGATCTTTCCAGCCACTCCTCTCCGCAAGCCAAGTCTCAAAATCACACAACTTGGGCTCCTCCTTCTTCAGCTTACTAATATCAGCGCCATAGCCCTCAGCCGCAAACCAGCTGATCATAACATTCACTTCCGTCACGGCCCACATGAGTGTTGACCCAAAGAAACCATAAGTTGCAGGGAGTGGGCTACCAATGACGCGTTCAAAGCACCCACTCATCTCATCCATGGTCAACTCGCTGCCCGCAAGACCCTCTGCACGCCCATTCCACTCTTCATGATTAACAAACGCACGCGCACCAAACAGTCCGATGTCCTCGACTGAAACCCACTGAAGCGACTTTCCCTGCAGGGTATCGCGCAGCGCGGCAAGGAAGACTTTTGTGGGAAACGCAGGGGTAAGGTTATCCATGAACGCCACGGGACGCAGGATAGTCCAGCCCATGTTTTCTCCGTTCTTACCCGCCTTTTCAAGAAGATGCTGCTCAATCTCGTACTTGCTCTGGAAATGCGGGATGGGCGTCTTGTTCTCAAAGCTGCGCTCGTTGCCGCCACGGTCAACGCTCGAGTAGACAAAGTGTATGACGCCTTGTTCGATGGACTCGTCAATTAGGGCGTTGCCTTGCACGACTTCGCTCTCGTGAGTGACGTTTTTGCCGAGCGAGACTTGCACAGAGTAGACGCCCCAGACTTTTTCTTCTTTGCCGGCTTCCTTGAGCGCGGCTTTGGCGGAGGCGAAGAGCGCTTTGGGGTCGTCGAGGTTGCCTTGTACGAGCTTGACGTCGGGATGGCGCTCGATAATCTTCTTGGCTGAGCCAGAGTTGGCATCACGGGTCACGGCCAGAAGTGTGAATTGTGAGCTGGAAGGGTGCGATGCGAGTTGTTCGAGCACAGCACCGCCTTGCTTGCCAGTGGCGCCGGTGACGAGGATGGCTTTTGTGGCGGCCATGGCGAAAATGCTTGATTGTCAATGAACTTGTGGTCTGGCTTGATGATAAATCTAACTTGTTAAATTGCCCTTTTAAGCCTCAAAAGATGGAAATGGCAGTAAGGAGAGGATCATGAATACGAAAACGAAGTGGCAGCATCGCTAATATGCATGTTAAGACTTTCACGTGACAGTGTCACACAAAGGTAGGGACCACCGGCCCCGCAAAGATGTTCCGTTTCTTCTGGCAGTGATTTCAGGTGCACTACTCCCAGGTGAAGAGTGTGTGGGCTAGGAGCGAATGAATGATGTTCTCATAAGGTTTCATGTGGCGTCGGGTCGGTGAGAAACCCCACCAATACTTGGGGGTAACTGCATATGCACTGACAACGGCTGTGCTAGAGAGAGGTTGACGCAGACGATACAGGCTTTTTCATGTTTGATATCCGGTATTGCAGATACACGTGCAGAGATAGAAAAAAAGTGTGGGATATGCACGTATGCGTAGATCAAACAAGGCGAAATGCCGGAGTTTGGTTCGTCGATCAGTTCGGGTAGAGCTGAAGCAAGTGACGACACCGGACCTCCACGCTACCAGCAGTGACGGACTGGGATAACCATTGTTGCAACGGACCTAGCCATGAAGCCAAACTGTAGCTCGGAGGCTTCCAACATGAAAAAAATTATCTTCAAACAACGAATCATCAATCCAAGAGCCATCAAAATGACAGACCTACGCTTCTCGCAATCAGAAATCCGCTTCGCTACCGTGGCCCTCGCAGCCATTGCAACCCTTGCACCACTAGCATACTATCTGTATCCACCGCAATCTCAAGAAAACACGCCACACATGCAAACCTTCAACGCCTTCATAAAAAGTTACTCCACACTGCGTCCCCACGCGCTCACCACCAACGCCACCCGCGACTTCACCCATTCCTCCTTACCTTCTGACTTGGGACTCCCGCCCTTGCCTATCCGCGCCTTCCGCGACAACATGGAAGCCATGTTTGACGTCTTCAGCAGCTTCGAAGTGACGCCTCAAGACGACGGGTATGGCGGCCCCGCGGTGCATTTCTCACGTGACACAGATACTGTTGTTGCGCATTGCCGCATGGGCGGGAAGATCAATGGGGAAGGGGAGAAGGGAAGGGCACTAGAGGAGTGTGGAATCACCGAGTGGTGGACCGAAGCGGTGTTGTTCGTAAAGATGAGCAAGGATGGGAGGAGAGTAGAGGGTGTAAGGGAGTTCATGCATAGCAAGAAAGCAGAGGAATTGCAGACGAGGCTGGAAACCGCATTGGGTGAGTGAATTCGACTATGCGCTGGTGATGCAATTATCAGCGTTGCATATGTTTTTTTTTAAAAAAAAACACGCACGTGTCGCATTTCTGAAAGAGTATGTACATCTCGCCAGAGATGGGTAATCCTCTAGTCATGTGAATCACGTGCACGTCCATTCATCAGACCCTCTCGCAAGGGAGAGGGGGGGGGAAAGGCAATCATCTCATCACATTCACACTTACGCATAACCAAAAAGCAATCTCCTCATTGACAACAATGCCAATTCCTCACAACAAACACCCTGATCCCAATCTGTCCCGCCCAAAATTCGCTCCACAAAGCTCATTGCCACTTTCTCCCTCCTTCCTGCATTTCGACCCCTCACATTCTTAGAAAGGCCTAAGCAAAGTCAGATAAAGATGAAAAATAATCCTCAATCTGACCTCCCTCCGCATAAGCACAGCCTTTACCCCCCCCCCCCCCCCACACACACACACCATCGGAAACGTCATCATATATTTTCTTCTTTTTGGTTTTCCACGGAGCACACACCGTGCATGCCGCTTTTCGTTACAGTGCGGGTCTGGCCACTTTATTTTTGGTTTGGGATTAAGTTCCCGATGGAGAGCCGTGGGAACCTTTTTTTTCTTCGGACTTTCGAAAAGATGGTGGTGGGTTTCGAGTTTGGGAAGGGGGGCGAGTATGTAGGATGGGTGGCGGATACGGTGCGGGCGCGATACCAAGGGCTGTTTGTGTATCAGAATGGGCATGTTTCCCTCGGATTAGAATCTCTTCTATTCTAGACGATTGTGAGATATGGGAATTCGATCGATAGAGAGGGTATGATTCTTTTCTTTTTTTTCCTCTGCCTGTTTTGGCGATGAAATGATCATGTGCATTTTTTGAAGACGATGCAAATGCAATGTCCTATTTTCCTATCTAAAAGAAAGACGAAAGCTTTGCTGGCCATGATGACGGGCGAGTATGTATGCATGTATACACCTGCGTAACGGGAATCGTGTTGCATGTCTACTATTTTCCTTTTTTTCGCCTTGCTGCACATGGACACACACGCTTTTCCCGTCGAAATTCCCATACCAGAATTCAACAAGGGGGGGTAACCAGGGCGACGACAATCCCGGGATATGCGAGGGAAGAAGGCACATGCATGCAGGGTTATTTGATATGCAGAGTAAGCCAAGGAAAACGTGGGTGTGTCGTGTCGCACCGAGACGCATGTGCATGTGGGAATGTAATTGTGATGTGAAGACTGCACGCTTTGGGGAGTATAGGATTGCAGAGAATACAGAGTTGCAGGGGGTATGCGAAGGATGAGCGCCGACGAGTCAGGAGAGTGGTCATTTGTTAGGAGAGATAACCGAGCCAACGGACGCTCCCGCTGATCATGTGCTTATGCTGCATGGCAATGTACAAGTGTTCTGGAAAGTACCCTGGGCATGACGGAAACTTTGGAGTCATTTCCTTATAGCATTGCTTGTAGTAACATGGTACCGGCATTAGGATTGAAAGTATGCTGATCAAGTAGTAGAAAATTCGATATCATTATCATTAGGCTAAATATCAAAACTCTGAGTACGCAGGACTATTGTCCGCGACTATGCCACATAAACAAGCCTCGGAAGCCTTGCTACTCCCAGTCACCAGTACCGAGGTCAATGGCTTTGCCGGCCCTCATGTCCTCCATGATTTTTTCAATGCTCCAGGGCTCGTACTTGTATCCCTTGGGGTAGTTGGGCTCGAACTTGTCTTCATCCTTCATGTCGATACCTTCCTTTAGAGACTGAGCACTCTTCTCATAGTTTTCGTAGGCATAGGCCTCTGGGTCATGGCCCCATACCCACTTGGGGAGCTTAGGCGCAGCACGACGTGGGTCCAACTTAACCTTATCCCAGTCGGTGTCTTGGAGGAGCTCGGCATTAGAAAAGCCTAACTTTTGAGCGCAAGAGTTGCGAATGAAACTTTAGTTGCGAGTCAGTCTCAGTACAGATGTGATTAGGGGAAACAAAGTAGCCGCTTACCGGAACCGGATGTGGACACGAACAGACTGGGGAATGTTCTCCTTGCCGCCGATCTGGAGACACGAAGCTATGGAGATAGCATCCTCAATTGCTTGTGTTGCGCCGTTTCCAGAGGCCGGGAGATAAGAGTGTGCAGAATCGCCGATCTGAATGACGCGGGCACCGGGAGAGCACCAGCTTGGCTGGGGATTACGCCAAAGCAGTTCAAAGTTGACAATCGTGTTGGGGGGTGTTACTTCGACAAGTTGCTTGAAGATCGGAGCCCACTTGATCTTCTCCATGCCAGGCATGTTGTCCATACCGTCGAGCACCTCTTGCTTATCGATCGTGTTGCTCCAACTTTCTTTTTCAGTGCCAGTGACCTGAAACACGTCAGTTAGGCTTCTCTGTGATGCTTAGTCTGAGGCTTACATCGTGGTTCATAATCCAGACCATGACATCTTCACGGGTCAGAGTCAGAGCGTATGTGGATGGGCTAGAGCAAGTCAGAACAGTCGCATGCTAGGTTGAAAATCACTACGTACCCTAGCCATGTCCTCACAATAGGCTCGTTTCCGGGCATCAACTTGAAGAACTCTTCGACCTCGGGGTCCTTGGCCAAGGCTTCCCTAGGGAAAGCAGCGCGCCACATAGCCCTACCTGAGGGCCTTGCACGCACTTGTCCGCCGACGAGCTTCTGACTCTTAGAACCAACGCCGTCAGCTGCAATCACAACATCTGCCTCGTAGCGTTTGCCATCATCGGTAACGCAGCCACCCTTCCCTGTCTGTTCATCCTCAAAGTAATCAATGACCCTGCGGTTGAACTCTACGGAGACACCAAGGTTCTCGACCGCGCTCACAAACATCTTGTATACGAGCGGACGCATCTGGAACTCGCCAGGCGGTGTGTCGGGGTCCAGCCCCTGGGCACGCAGACGGTCCGCGACCTTCTTGGCCCCGATGACAATCTCACCCGAGTGTTTGAAGGTCTCCATCCAGGCATTGTGAAGTGATATTTTCCTGTACTCCTTGAGAAGTTCAGGCCAGTGCTTCAGGAAACGTGTCGCGCTGAGGCCCATGAAATACATGTCACCTGAAGTTGATCATAAGCAATATGCTCTACGCTAGACCCTTAGGTACCCGCTCACCAGATGTGTTAATGTCGGCATTCCTTTCCAGAACTCGCACATTGTGGCCTTTGCGCGTGCACTCGAGGGCGGCAACTAGTCCAGCAAGACCAGTCCCAACAATCAGGACATCGATGCCAGTCTTGGGATAAGACCCTATTGGCTTCGACTCCATGGTCGAGTCACGAGAGGTGAGTGCGTGAGGCATGATGGCGATTTATTTCGTAGCGTGTAAAGGGAGGATGAGAGAGCGAGTGTCGTCGAAGCCGACATGAACCCCAACATGCCTGCTTTTCATACACGTCGAATCTTCGCTGTGCTGGCATTGTCCGTTGGGGTACCAGCGAGGGTTGCCGAAGGCTCTCGGATGTCCGGGTGGTCGGTCAGCTTCAAACATGCATTCTTTTGCGATCACACGACGACAGTCACGCAATGCAAGCATCAACAACTTTAGCGGCACATGTCAGGAACGCGGTCTGTTGAGCTTGCGCTACGTCCGATAGTGATGACGCTAACTAGAAACTCCCGGGAGTGCTTCGAGTGCTTTGCACCCGTGCGTGCAGCGCTATGGTTCCCCGCAAACTCCGGAAGCTAAGCTTGTCGACGGTACACTAAGTCAACTCTAAGAAAAATGATAATCAAGCCTCCCATGTAAGATGCAGACGCTTGTCAGATGCTGTGGATCAGCGCAGCCTATGATGGTTTGCAGACGATAGGCCACCGCCACCCCATGCGAATTGAAAGCCGTTTTACATGGCTGATTTCAACCACCTTCCCTAATGATACCCCTGGTTTTCTATGCATAGCTATTAGAGACGTCATGACATTCAAGCGAGCCGTGTTTGCATGTCTTTGCACGGGATTCAAGGCCGAAGAGACTTCCATCTGCCAGAAGGGGACCGGGGTAGGCTCAGTACACGACGTGCCACGCTCTTGCAGAGTACCAGGGCATGACTTGGTACACAACACGGCGCCCCAAAATGCGTTGTGACACTTGGATAGAAACTCTTGACAATGCAAGGCCTCGGCGAGGAGAGTACAGCAGCGTGACAATGTTTCCGATACCCAATAGGAGGGTTTGTTGCATATGGCAAGGCTGTCTTTTTGGGGGCAAAAGGTCGTGGCTTTCTCGCAAAAAGTATGGTAACAGGGGATCGGCTGGTAGAATGATGTTTCGTCACTCGCATCTAGTCCTCGTGGCTACGCTTGGCTGGTCTGGTACGTTCAATTCCAAGCGTCAGCGCTTAGCCCATGACGATCTCTATTCTCTTTGGGCCCACTCATACATCCTGGGCCTAATCTGAACCATCTCAACGTGTCATAAGTCGGTGTTCGTCAGCACCGACCTTGACATCTTCCATTGCTGGAGGGTATCAGGATGTCGAGTAGGCAAGGATGTTGTTGTCGTGGGGTCCTGACCAAATATTGGCTCGGCATATTTCCATCGATGTCCATTGGACAGCATGATGTCTGTCCCTCGAAGCGAAACTTAGGCCATATCGGTGGTCCCTATATTCACGCCGATGGATGTAGGGTCATGGATTGTCTTATCCCACTATCAGTCCCTGTATGCTCGTACATAAAGCAGGTTCTGGGGAGCCGGAGAACAGATTGTGTACCTGACAGCTGTGGTGTGATATCTACCAGGCTTCTCACGCATCTTTGGTCGTTGTCAGTGTGTCCTCATTTACTTCCCGTTCTTGTACCTGTTTTCGTTCTTGAGGCTTGGCCACGGGCTGTCGACGCCTACCATATTTGACCCATACCTTTCGACACTCTCCTTAAGCACACTTGCGTTACCGACATGCATTCTTTCACGGTATATGCGCTTGGCGTAGCCGTCGCTGGCCTTGTCGTATATGCTGTATTGGACGCTGTCGCCAAGTACGACAAGCGATACAATGTTCAAAACATGCCTGGACCGCGGCTGGTCCCATGGATTGGTCGTATTCACGACCTTCCCATCGAGTTTATGTGGTTGAAGTTCAAGGAGTGGTCTGACATGTATGGCCCCATCTACCGGACGAAGATGTTGGGCGACAACTTTGTCGTCATATCAGACGAAAAGCTTGCCGAGGAAATGCTGGTGAAGAAAGCCAAGGTGTACTCAGACCGACCTGAGATCAAGTCGTTGTTTGATGCGAAGAGCACATTTGGTTCCATGGAGTATTTGCCCCTTATGGGCAAGAATCGTACGTTGACCCCTAGCGGGCAAAGGATAAATCGGACTGACAAGACAATAGAGTACTGGGCTCGTCAGCGAAAGTTTACACACTCTTACCTAACCGGCGCAACCAATGTGCAGTACAATGGTATTATGGAATTCGAGGCCAAGCGATGGATGGCCAGGCTTCTGGAGAACCCCGATGACTTCTCTGCCTCTCTTGAGGACATGTGCTCCAAGGTCATGTGCCAACTGACATGGGATGATGCCTCACTTAGTACCCCTCTTACCCCTAGCGCATGGGGTCTGCTTACTCAGATGTCCCCTGCCGGTCCAATCACCAACGTTCTTACTCCTCTGTGGGACTACTTGCCCGAGCCCATCAACCCGTGGAAAATTCGTGAGCGCAAGCGCCATGACAACCAGCAAGCCTTTTTCATGGAATGCCTACAGAACACTAGGAGGAAGATGGAGAAGGGCCAACAACGAGCCTGCTTCACCAAGAGCTACCTTGAGACTGCCGAGAAGACAAACATCTCTGGCGATTATGAGGCCTCGTGTGTCATTGGAATGATGGCGCTCGTTGGCATCTTTACTGTTACCGGACCTATTTACTACTTCTTGATCAGCATGGTTCACCACCCAGAGTGGCAAGTCAAGTGCCAGAACGAGATTGATCGTGTTTGCGGTGACAAGCCTCCCTCTATTGCTGACTTACCAAACCTTCCCATCTTGCGCGCGTGTATCAAGGAGACAATGAGGTGGAAGCCCACTGTTCCAACTGGTATGTCAGTTCGCTTAAGTTGACTGCATTTGCACTAACCGGGAGAATAGGCGTTGCGCATGAAGCCGAAGCCGACGATTGGTTCCACGGTTACTTTATCCCCAAGGGTACGCGCATCCTCCCTCTTGACTACGCTTTTCTCCGCAACCCCGTCAAGTACCCCGAGCCCGAACAGTTCCGTCCCGAACGATGGTTGGAGCCTGAGTGGCCTACGTTCCAAGCGCCATTGACCAAGTACCCTGACATTGTGGGCATGACGTCCTTTGGGTGGGGTCAGCGTCAATGTCTAGGCATGTCCATTACTCGGGACGAGACGGTGACAGGTTGCGGAGCGCTCATGTGGGCCTTCAACCTGAAACGCAAGATCGACCCTGTCTCCGGCCAAGAGATCGAGGTACCCCTCAACAAGTCCAACTCGCTTCTTATCATCAAGCCAGACCCGTGGGAGATGGCCTTTGAGCCGAGAAGCGCAGAACGCAAGCAGGAGGTGATTCAGTTGTGGGCAGAGGCAGAGGCCAAGGACAAGGCGGAACGCGCCGAGTTTGCGCGACAGGCAGAGATGGAGCAGGTTTTGGAGCAACCTTAGATATTGTTTGATACCCGTATACTGAAGCTGTTGAAGGGTGCAGCAGTGAGGCGGGGCGTTTGTAAACTATAGTTTCTTTTGTTTTTTCTTAGTGCAGCGACACATATTTCCTTTGTCGGCATAGTAGGTAGCTATAATGCATCTCTTTGAACCCTTGACTAGAACTGATGATGTTGGTTTCTGTGTCTCGAAATGTGAGCGAGTAGAAAGGGTGGGTGGTATGGGTAATTTTGACAAGCGCGAGCGGTGTTAGATATGTAGAGCGTCCAGCTACTCGTATTCGCAGTGAGGAGCCGGCCATGGGGCGCCATGCTGGGCTGAGCTGAACACGGCGCTCTATGGTGCTGGACGTCCGTGTGCGCTGCGACCAGAGGGCAGAGACGAATGCGGAGCTCCGTAGGTAGCGGAGTGAACGACCAGGGTGCAAAACGATCCACAGGCATACGTACTCTGTGCATGCGGACTACGTCTGCCCTGACATGGCGGCGCATAACTACACCAGTCCTCCCCTTCTACCCCGCTATTTTCTGGCCCGAGCGCCGTCCCATCTGGGCGCAATTGACGGCGCCTGGAAGTACCGTCAGCAGCACACCTAAGAGGCCGAGTCATGTGACGAGCCCCGCCTCTCACAAAACCGGTACAACTGGGAAATCAAAACAAGCGGCTATTGCCTCCTGAAACTAGTTATTAAGAACGCGAACACGAAATATCTCCATCCTAACACGCCTATTTCTGAATTAGATCTCTACCATGGAATACGTATGTCTTGCTTTGGTCGTTCTTGGTTTCCAAATATTAGTTTGCATATATATATAACTATATATATATAGTTATAACGATACCAAGTAAAGTAGCAGCAGAAGCAAGCGGGCAGCATTTTCGCCATGCCTTTAGGTGGTTTTGCACTGCTGGGAGGGGCCGTCATTTTCCGGTTTTACTTACCGGTTTTGTGAGAGCCCACTCAGAGCTGCAGAGCTGCAGCTATCGTTGCTCTGCGGCAGAAGCTATGGTGCTGCAATAAGCCGCTAGCCAGATGCCCCTCCATTCGCCCTTGGTCTTTTAAAAGCTGCCCCTCATCACTCTGTTCAACAACACTCCACCTCCACACACTTGTTTGCACATACAAACCCTACTCCCATCAAAATGTCTAACCCCCGTGTTTTCTTCGACGTCAGCATTGGCGGCGACCCCGCTGGCAGGATCGTCATGGAGCTCTACGCAGACAAGGTTCCCAAGGTGAGTACCCCGCCGTCAGAATCTTCATCATCGCTCCTGTCTTTTTTTTTTCAAATGTTCCAAGTAGCGAGCCACCAGCTAACCACTATTGACAGACTGCTGAGAACTTCCGCGCCCTCTGCACCGGTGAGAAGGGTACCGGCAAGTCTGGAAAGCCCCTCCACTACGAGGGCTCCGTCTTCCACCGCGTCATTCCCCAGTTCATGCTTCAGGGCGGTGACTTCACCCGCGGCAACGTACGTAATTGCTATAACCGAGCCTGTCAACGAAGAGCAGCTGGCTGACATAGCGCAGGGCACCGGTGGTGAGAGCATCTACGGCGAGAAGTTTGAGGACGAGAACTTCAAGCTAAGTCACACTGGACCCGGTGTTCTCTCCATGGCCAACGCTGGACCTGGTATGTGTACAATGTCATCTGCGCGTGGGCAGAGCAAGCTAACCAAGTCGTCTAGGTACCAACGGCAGTCAGTTCTTCATCTGCACTGTCAAGACCTCATGGTTGGACGGCAAGCACGTCGTTTTCGGCCAGGTTGTCGAGGGTATGGACGTTGTTCAGGCTGTTGAGAAGGTTGGCTCTCAAACTGGCAAGACCAGCAAGGTGGTCAAGATTGAGAAGTCTGGCCAGCTGTAAATGCTTGGCCTAGCTGCCAAGTCCAACTTTGAGTGATGCGGGCGGATCGACGATAACGACAATTGACGATATCAACAAGTCAATGAGCGGCACTGGTCAGTCGTAGTACCAAGCTGGGAAATGATATAGACTCTTGCGCGCAATGTTTCTCCCATGATTGTACCTGATGTGATGTATTTGTGTGCAATGTGAAGATGGTCTTGAGTGATGATTTCCTGTTTTTCGATTTGTCGCCGGCAGCTGGAGCAAAGGTGGGGCTTGCATGGACAGACGGGTACTGGTTCCGCCTCACTCGGACGGGTATGGGAAAGGGTTCGAGCGGAGTGATTGAAGGCGTGTCTTTAGTAATTGGATAGAGAGCCATGTACAATTACTACATACGTACGTACTCTGCCTTGATAGTAAAAAAAACAGGGCATAATGGGGAATTAGGTAACTGCCGTTTCTGGAAGGGCCGCAAAACGTCTAGAAGCCTTGGGAGGCACGTGACTGAAGCGCTGGCAGTCCGCTTAACCCAAACAGAGGAGGAAGTGGAAAAAGATGCATCCAGCGGCGCAAACATGGAACAAGCCTATCAGAAAACTAGTCTTGTATCGATACCTGACTCGACATCTTGATTGTGAGCTGTGAAGATTGATTACAGCAAATTTTTCAGACATGACGTGTGAAGGGGATTATGAGTTGTTGTCGTTGTTGTTGTCGTTGTTGGGTCGTGCTTGTTCTTCAAAGCCACCACGTACCCCGCCTTGATTGGCTCCACAATTCGTGCAGCCAGGTAACCTCTTCATCCTGGGGTAGAATGCAGAACGGGAAAAAAGGAAGAAAAAAAGTACTAAGAAGAGGCTGCAAAGTGATGCAATCAAACAGTATGGGTGGCGCAGAATAACAAAAGGTGCGTGGGGATACATGTCTCGGATAATCACGTGTGGTGCGCCAGGTTGCCACACAGCAAGCCCTACAGTCACCAACGGTGCTGGCATTCGACAAGCAAGAATGGCGCGAGTGATGCCCAACGGTTTCCTTGTGCCAGGGACCTGCAATGTTGTTGCTCACCATCTTCGATCTCCGTGACGATCATGTTCACCCGTCGTGGGGGATTTCAGTCACTGGGCAATGGGTTAGGCAGGCTAGCGGCCGTAGTTGAAGGGAGGCTGGTCCTTGTCAAGGCAGCGTCCAGCCTTGTTGCGTCAGCGAGGTGGTTGCATACTCGGCCGCGACCCAAGGAATGTGCAATTGCAAGCCGACAGCTGCCGCAACATGGCGTAAAGTGCGTACATAGATAGTACATATGGCATATAGTACATAGTACGTACACACATATGTAATACAAGGGCGCGGGATATGACGTCGGGCATCGGAGTCGACATGATGGCTAAATGGCACAGCGGAACGAGTCTCGCCATTGTCTGCTGACAACCGGGACAGGGCATGGAGAAACAGCATGAAATATCGATACACGTGGGAGGATCAGCCACCAAGGAGCGTCCCGTAAGTGCCCGGATCCGATGGGCGACCGAGAGCTCGCCTCGCACAGGCAGTGCGGTTCCGAACATGGAGGGTGCTGGCGCCTCTGTCGGCCGTGTCGCCGCGGAGTGCTTGCTGGGCGAGATTGTTTCCTCTTTGTTTCAACGGCAGGCGAGGGTTGCAGACGCTGCAGACGGCGCAGGAAGCGTTGCGGTTTGGCGTGGAGCACTCGATTGCACTCGTATTTGGACTCGGCCGGTTGCCATGGCGCGCGTGGGCGCTGGACAAGGTTGGTGGAGGAGGAGGAGGGTCAGCGGACGGCAGCGATTCGCCGAACGAGCTGCAGCGGACCCGATGCAGGCAAAGTCAGATGGCCTAGGAGGTCTAGATGGTTGCCAACGGCGCTGACGAGGGCCGACGATTAGCTGCAAGCGGCCAAGGCCCATTAAGCGTGTGCAGCGCGCTGCGCGCAGCTGGTTGCAGTGCTTTGCAGCCATCTTGGTTGACGCTGATCGACCGCATTGGGAACGATCAACCGGCCTCGAGGCATCCAGAACCCCGCGAGCACACCACTCCCTCTCTCTCACCCACCCCGTCCTCCTCATCCCACCCACGCACGCTATGCGCTGCGCCTCCATTCGTGCTGCTCTCTCACCCACAGGCTGCACTTTGTATTAATCCCCCCCTCGGCCCTTGCGCCCGCCCTGTGCCAGGTCACCCTTTCGTCAGCTGTCTCAGATCGCTGCGCCGCCTGCTTCACTCCAGGCCCCAGTCTCTCGTAGTCTATGTATACGCTTGTCTGCGTTGCACTATAACGCCATTCAAGCAAAATAAACCATCTATTCACACTCTCCGCCTCTACTCCCGACTATCCCTTTGATCGCCTGGCCGTCGACACGTCACGTCACATACATCACGTCATGGCGCCATCCGGGCATTGGCGACACCACCAGTCCAGCAACAGCACCGCTTCAGGTCGCAGCGAGCACAGCGACCGTTCCTACGAGACAGCCCCGACAGAGTACAGCGGCCGCAGACCGTCTCTGGCCTACAGCGAAACATGCCATGGCCGCATCCAAGGACGCTATCAGGAACATGATTACGCTACGCCTCGATACCAAGTCGAGCCCTACCAGCAGTTTCCTCCGCGCTCATCAGTCGACACGTATGCATCGACATCAGAAGAGGATCTCGCCGATGATTTCGAAGGCATGCCCGACTACGATGTCCCCGTATATCGTCATGAGCCGCTGGGCGGCGATGCCATTCCCACCACACCCCGCGACTTTGGAGAGCTCTTCCCCACCTCAAAACGCATATCAATACGACACGACGACTCGACAATTGACGGAAACATGAACCTGAGGGTGGACACACAGATCGAGGATCGATCACACCGGAAACAGAGCTACACTCTCTTCCATCTCCGCATGCAGGACCTTCGCACCCGTCAATTCTCGCTCCGTCGCTACTGCAGAGACTCTGGCCGTGAGGTTTGCCACTCAACACGCAAGTACCAAAAGCCAGCCACCGAGATGCGGCCAGTGCTCCAGCGTGCCAGCACAGCCCTCGCTAGCCTTGTCAAATCCGAATCCCGCCCCTCGACATCAGCAGGCCTGAAGCGAGCAGACTCGGGATATGACTCAATGCACCACATTACTCGCCGCGACGACGACGAAGATGATGATGACGACGATCTAGTTGAGTCACGCCCCAAAACCGTGGGCTACTCCAAAGGCCGGGCACTGATTCCGACGAATACCATCAAGCTCGAGTTTTCCAACTACGCCCACATTGATGTGAAGAGACGTGGCGCCAAGTCCTACAAGAAATATGCATTTGAATACTGGGGCAACGACTATTCGTGGAAACGCATCATTAAGAAGGAGGGCCAGCAAGAATCCATTTCCTACTACTTGGTCCGCGACGACAACGACAAGGAGCCGCTCGCCCACATCTGTCCTGTGCGCGTGACAGCCAGCGAAGCGCATGAGGAGGCTGCGAGGGGTGGCTGGGTGCCCCCGTGCTATATGCGCATCACCGATGAGCGGATCCTGAATTCCAACTCGGACATATCTGAGTAAGTCACAAACTACAACCCCGCCGCTACGATAGGCAACAAGCTAATGTTGATAAACTAGTGTCGTGGTTGCAACGGGTCTAATGGCACTTGTGGATGACTGCATCAAGCGACGTTTCCACTCGAAGCAGACTACGCACATGCACATTCCGCTGCTGCGCAACTCATCTTTCAAGATGGCCAATTTGGAGTACATTGGGCCCAGGCGGTTGATTGATGAAGTCTTCAACCGTAAGCAGCACGACGGTAGCACAGCCAAGAGACCGACACCACCGGCGGCTGTGCGTCGTGTCGCGACGTGAGGTGTCGGCCTCGTTGATTTGCTTCACGTTTGTTCATTCGAGGCCCGCTGCGTTGGCGCATATCCCTGCAACCGTAGGGTAGGCGCATCATCTAATGGTACACGTACGACGGAGCTGTCAGAACTGTTCTGTTGGGACACTATCTGATGGACAGCGGTCGTTGTTACAGGGCTGGTTATCGGTTTTCTTTTGTGCTTATTTTTGTCTTGTTTGATGTTTGGTATGCGCATGGTCACTTTGACCGCGGCACGGATTGCGTCATGAGTTTGCTGCATTTGTTGAGCGTGGGTTTCACAGGATACCATCCCCGCCAGGGACTTGAGCACGTTGGGACGACTGTCGAGTTGTGTTTTTTTGGTCACGAAGAGCCACTCTATTCCTTGGATCGATACACGTTTTGGATCCACGTTACGATACCACCATTTATTTGGAACGAATAATGAAACTAGGGCCCGTTTGCCCTCTGCTATTTTTGGTCCAATGCCCGCCATGTGTGAGACTGTTCTGTTTTGTTTTCTGTGTTGCTGGCGTCTGGATATGCAGGGCAGGCCCCAGGGTCGCAGTGAGGCTTTTGCACGCCCGCATACGCTGAAGAGTAGACCGATAGTACATTGTCATGTTTGCTTACGCGCGTCAGACTGGAAAGCCTGCATTGATGCAGAGTGAGGCTTCGGTGCCGGCTGGGCAGTCTTGACAGGCTTGTGGTCGGAATTGTAGCACCTCGCACCAGGTGTCACGGGCAAGGCGTGAAGCGGATCGCCAAGCACTGCAATGGCACAACGTAAGGCTTCAGATACATGCATGTTGACTTTTGCTTTCACGATGGTTGCACCGGACAGAGGGCAAACAGCCAAGCAGGTACCCGTTTACCTCTGTTGCCATGTGACAGCTGATTCCGTGGGCACCATGCATGTCATGCCAAGGCAGTAAGTGCGAACCGCTCCGTCTCTCCACATGCAAGTCGTCGTTAGACGCCGTCCGCCGTCACCACAGCACCCGCCACCCGCCTCACAATCCCCCATCCCATGTCTGCCCGTTGCTGCCCGCTCACCGTTGCCCCAGGCCATATTGTTAATGCTGCTGAAAATCTTCGCCTTATGATATCATGGCTGCCCTCTATGCCGACGACGGTGACGGGGGTTCTGGCTACTGCTGCATGGTGAGCTGGCCTCCCACTAGCATCATGCCTTGCAGCCATGTGCATACGCAATGGAATCTCTTGGGCTCCAGTTCCAGAATAACCCTCACCAAACCCCCCAAACTGACAGCTTTTCGAACGGGCGTACGCTGCATGCAGCCCTTGCCCCATTCAGGGTACTGCCAACCGCGCTCTCCACGGCCATGGTTGCTCACCTGAGCTGTACCCACGCAATCCATCAACTCTCCGCATGCAGGATTCGGCTGCGCTTCGTCTTAGCCATGTTCTTGGTTCTCGCATACCCCATCGGCCCGCTCTAGAGGGCGCCTCTCGACCCAATGGCTTGGGTTGCGTTGAGCGGGTGCAAAAAAGTTCGCTGTGCCCCCGTTGAACCAGCTGGCTCTCGACGGCTCCTGGCAGTTGTGTGCATCACAGGTTAGAAGAGAGTATGACTGACGAAGCAGCTTGCCGCTCATCTCTGTTACTCACTGCTGCCACCACCTGTCGCTCTGCTACTCATCGAGCACCTGTCTCCATGTCGGCCGGGTTATAAGTAGCCCTTTTTGATAACTTCTCCGAGCATCGCTCAGCCCTGGTGTATCAAACTTTCCTTCCCCCCACACTCTGTCCATCCTCTTGTTCACAAAGCATTGCTCCTCTTCTCGCCTTCTTTCACGTGCCTCTTATCACGCCTGCCTACAATGACGAGCCCGGATTCCTGGTCACAACGTCTTCGAGGTTGGTATTCCATTTACCCCCACTCCGCCTGTTGCATTGCACATATACACATACATACACACAAACAGTCGCCTGTTAACATGCCCGCTTAGAGCATTGCCTGGTCCGCGGTATACCAGAGCCAACTTATACGGATCTTTCGGATCGCCGAGGTACGGCGGCCCTTCTTACCCACCTTCCCCTGAAAATTTGCAACACCACCATATTTCTACTTCAACATCCACCCCTCAGCGTGTAAGAGAAGTCACTAACACCCCAGACCAGGAGGCCGAACTGCTTGGACCACCATGGTCTCTGTCAGTGGTACCAATTACCAGGCTCGCTTCTGGTACGATGGCGACTATCTTTCTCAGGCAAAAGAAGACTGCTCCGAGGTTGCGCTGAGGGCCATGACTGGATATGTGAATTCTGCACAGACGCCGCCACCAGCAAGCCACTATCGAAGCTTGGGCACGCAGATGAATCAGAGTATTACTTCTTGAATGAATGGCCGGGTGCCTCTCGCCTGGGCTATGTTTGCTCGAACTCATTGAAATTGGCGCGAGAGACAAAGTCAAATTGATGGGAATCAGGAATCCAAACGCTCGAGTCACGATTTCTTCGTGATCGACAATATTCACTCCTTTTTTTCGTAGTTGTTTTTTATGTTGTTATCATTGGAAAGCTGGTGGTCATAGTGGCTTATCGACATTGTCAACTTGGTTTTGCTTGGATTAAGGTAGGGGAGAGGGGGAAACGGGATATGGGTCAATGGGGGGAAACCGGGCCGGGAGGTAAAATTCGTATTTCGAAATGTACTTGCATTCGTTTACTTAGCAGTTTGGCCACCTAGTGGCTTTTTGCTATTTCTGCCCTGCATTTTTTTGTATCAATACTAGGTTCATTTTTTCCTCTCCAACCGTCCTTGATTATCTATCTTTCTGCCTTTTCTAGGTGTTGTGTAACTGTGATGTACAGAAGATAACTTGTGCAGAGTGAAGTGTCCCATCTCACTCCCCCTTGACAAATCTTCTAGCACGGCGCCTGGAGGACTACTACAACAACCCACTTGCAAAAACCCCCCTCACAAACCTCGGACGAAGCAAAGACCCTCATACTTCGCGCTCGCCCGGCCCCAAGATCCGCGCCGCTCGCCCCACGCCCAAAAAAAGCCGAAAGCGGAGAGGGAGGGACCAGATACTTGCCTTGTTGGTCTAGATAACTACGTTACTACTGCCCTTAACCTTCTTACCCGCTGCCCGTTACATCACACACCCCTTCCCTGCCCAACTCCCAAGCCACTTCAGTCAATCCAGCCCCACACGTTTCCTTGTAACCCGCCATCTATGCCATCCCATCTACGCCCACCCAATCACCGCTTATATATGTTCCTCGGGGTTCTGTGATTGCTTCGAGTAAGAAAAAAAAGTGGGAATGATGGGGGATGTGATGTGTAATGCGTGTTCATGTTACACGTATGCAAGCAGAGATGTGCATATTGACGCATGGGACTTGTAAGCGAGAGGAAGGAGGGAAGGGAGGAGGGAGAAGCACCGAGGAGTGGGGAGTTTGTTGAAGGGCACGATAGAGATTTGAAAAATGGGTCACGGTTTGTTTTTACTACGCGTAAGTGTATCTGATCATACAGCTTGCATGGCTAAGAAGATGGAGAATGGTCTCACAGTATCTGAGGGTGCTGTGACGTGAGTAGAGAGAGACGAGCAGGTTGCGGCTTCTTTTCTCTCTGCTTCCTTACAGCCTTGCGCATACAGAGAGTGTTGGACAGCCTGGATGGTTCTGGAAGCGTGCCTGCTAGGATGATTGTGCAGGTCAATGACGGGGGGATTGCTATCCGAATGCGAGTGATAAGCAGGGTCGTCATATGATTGATCAAAGTGACACACGACTGGCAGTTTTGGCCCCCCTTGGCTCTGCATCTCAATGGGGCTCGCTGACGCCAGTGAGAGCACACGCGCTTCCAGGGGTGTCGCCGAATGGCTTGATGGTTCCCGAGGAGCCTAGAGGAATTGTCCTCGTGTAAAAGCTCTAGTCTGGCCCCGATACGTTGTTGGCTATTGGCGCGTTGATGGAGTGGTGTCACTGTATCATGGATGCATGGGTGCAAAGCAGTGTTACTGTAGCATTGCTGGCTGAAGCCTCCAGACCGACAAGCGCAAATATGAGTCGCATGACTGCAAAGGATTTCACTGAGACTGAGCATACAGAAATCGTGGATATTTCCGAAAAAGCAAGTCACAAGTACGATGTGATGCACCGAGCTGACTGCCATACTTTCAGAGACTTCGTGTTTCAGTGGGTACTATATGTAGTGCTGTCTCCTTACTCATTCACCCGCTGTCTCCATGCACTGATGCAGATCTTCGGGACAATTCACCCTCCGAACACAACCCGGACTTCCCTTTTCCCCCTCAGCGCCTGTTGAACAGTTTGTATTGACATCGATACCCTTGCTTTCCGAGGACCAGCTCACTTGCTGGTCTCTGGCAAAGAACCTGCCGGATTGGCTTACTCCATCTCGCCTAAACACAGACGAACGCTTACGTCTCCAACAATCTTACTAGCTTGTCACGACCGATCCTTTGCCTGCCATGCAGCACCTATTACCGCAGCGGACTGCATATCGCAGTGGCTAGACACGGCTAAAGATAGAGGATACCGCAATACAGATGACTGTCCAGCGCGGCGGTCTTGCTTGATGGAGACGCCCTAGAGACTCGGCTGTCACGGAAACGCATTTTTCTATCTCAACAAGGGCCACCTACGTTCACTCGCAAGTCAGTCACACCGAGGACGACTGCATCCTCTACGGGTTGATGCTTCCTATCGACGTGACCTGTATGTTCACTCTACGAATGAGATACTCGAACACGCACTGATGACTCCTAGCTTGATTACGATATCAGACCACCGAGACCAGAGCCGCGCTCCATCCCTTCAAACACGTCCCTTCGTCCCGTTCAAGCACCTTGCAGCTACTACAACGATTACAAATAGCTCACCAACATGTCGGATATAAAAGCGCTATGAAGTAGCACTATAAAGCTCAGAGGAGAATGGGGTTGTAGCCATACGTGGCGGCGTACTACGCACTCTAAAGAGTCTGCCAATCCAACTTGTGGTATTCATGCATAGCGCTAAAGTCTGCGCTGGCTAAACATCTGCATCTAGCTCACAGAAGCTAACGAATCACACATTTCTTTTGACCGGTCGCCGCAATGCAGAAGAATAAGGATCGTCTGTTCGCCCTTTTACGGTACACTTGGCCCGCAAGTCAGCAACTTCGGGAGTTCGGCTTAGCTCATGCAGTTGACTCGCACTATATGGGTCGAGGAACACAGAGCAGTGACGAAAGCTGCGATTCAATGACAAATGTAAAGTTGGTCGAGATTCATGCCCATTGCCCTTACGCGCCATACGACATACAACACGTTTCTATGAGAGTCCCGCCATTCGAAGCCAACAACATCGGAGAGAACACGATACAGGATGGGGACATACAGGAACCAAAGGCACTAAAACCTAATTGCAATGCAAAGGAAGCCAGCGGGGCGGAATTTACCTCTGATCTACCCCTTTGACACACTTCTGCTTTATCTGGCCGAATGCGGCAATGAAGTGATTATTGGAAACCACCGGCGAAATATCAAGGAAGATTGATATGGTCTTGATTCAGAGGAAGTACAGGCATGAATACATGGCGAAAGAAGCGGAAGAAGAACAATAGGCTTCATCCGTCACCGAGTGGCCTACGTTTATTTTTCTGCAGATTTGGCAAAACGTAAGGGAATTTTCTATCAAGGTTCTGCAACCTGTCAACTTTGAACGGGAAGGACGGTTTTTTTCCCAAGCTCGGCTGGCAGCGCAGGAACTCTAATAAAATTGCCCAGCTTTCAGGTTGCCGGTCCGACCCGTATCGGAGCGTACCTTCCGCTGATCGCGTGCGCACGTGTGCAGTAGCCTCTGTTTTGGGATGAGGACTCCTTTTCATCAAAACAGAAACTCTTATGCTATAGAATCGTTATTCGTCATGTGCTGCTGATACCGCTCAATCAGAACGTGAGTGACTCGGAAAACTAACGGGAAACGCGGGAAGTGCGGCTGTGACATTCTGTATCTCTCTGCATGAGTGTCCCTGCGGCCGGTGTCACAAACGCACGGGCGTGAAAGTCGCCGATGGGTCCACTGCACGTGGCTCTTTGAGCGCTTACAGGCAAAGTTCCGGCAAGAGGCATGGCATCATCTCGTATTCTGTCTGTTCCATCTGTTCTATCTCGAAAAAAAAACAACGTGATTACTCTGCACGACGAGAGCGACTGCTGGGTACATACCTGCATAGTATGCTTTGACGACTAGGCTATTTGCGACTGTCTGCATCCAGCCCTCATAGACCTGTAAACAAGAGACTTCGCGAGTCTTGCTAACCGTGTAGGCAAACACGACGTTGACAGTTTTCCTAGCTACTCACGCTCGGCAAGTCCAGTCATCGAGCCTCAGAGAAACCGCATCGGAATTCCACGTTCTATCCTCTACACTGCTCGGATTCAACTCCTCATTCCTTCCACACGTCTTGAAAAATCGCTTCTATGCGTTGTTTACCCGATCCTGTCCGCCGCCTGATCGTTATCGAACCTCGTGGTCATCGTAAGCTCGAGATGGAGGAAACAAAAATCATCACATGGATACGGTATTTTTGAACGGGTGCGCGGACAAGGAGAAGATATCGATGGAAAGAACTTAAGCGGCGTCTCAGAGTGAGCATATGATGTGGTGATGAATGGAAGTACACGCTCCGACGTGTTGGGGCGGAGTTCAGTCCGCGGGCTGTTGTCTAGACTGTGTACGGACATCATTCACGACCGTGGACCAAAACCGATATCTTTTCGTTGATATGAACGACGGCGATGATAGGCTAGAAGCCTGGTACTGGAAGATGGCTTCACCGTCAAACTCATCGTAGTCTATGGACCCTGTCGACTGTATGCATGAAAATGGGTCGCAGCAACAAGCTCAGTACTACAATTTCTGTATCCGTCTCGTTTACATCGTCACCCTCAGAATCAGGAAATTCTCCAGAAGTTCTGAATAGTAAGCTTTGAAGTCAGTCAGACCCCTTTGCTTACAAGAACATGGTTATTCGACTCTTGGCCTGTCCCAACACCATTCCCAACTCCAACCCCTCTATTCATCGCAGGTTCTCTCCGATGTCCTCTTCAGACTTTCGTCTCCGAATACAGAAAGTATCCTGATTATTTTCCACGCCCACGAACACGCATTATATTGCATTTAAAAGCGGCATATGCATTCAAAATACGTTCGCATTCCGCTAGCCTTGAGAAATCGCGCAATGCTGCACAAATCCTGATCACGACAGCGCACCCTCATCGGCCCCATGTGGTAAATTTCGTTAATAATTGTGAGGAGGCATACCGGAATTAGAACAACTACAGGTGATGTTGCAGTTGAACAAATAGTCCGATGTCAACGGCGGGAAGGCGGGAGCTAGGCACCCGCATCGGCAACCTTAATTGTGCCGCTGCGAAACAAGCGGGGATCCGCAACCCAACTGATGACTGAGGGCTTGGAACTGGCCATGAACGGGAGGGGTTCCATTGCCTATGAAACAGAGAATCAATATTTAAACAATCATCCCCGTGCGATTTACAAAGAAGAAAATCCTATCAAAAAAAAAAAGGCCAAAACTTCAACTCTTACATACCCCTATAAATTTCAAAGAAAAAAGAAGAGAGAATAGAAACCACCCATTATAACGCAATCCTGTTTCCAAAAAAAACCCCCCTATCTTTCTCTCTCTCACACACACACAAAGGCCACGAAAACAATGTCCTCTCCTCCCCACTCCCCGCCTCACCCCCCAACCTCCGCCTCGCAAACCTACAAATCCCTCCACACAACCTCCCTCGCCTTCATCTCCGCCCAATCCTTCAACCCCACCCTCCCCGTCTCCGCCGCCCCACCCTTACAAGGCACTTTTTCCTTCGACGCCTTCGCCGCGCACCTAGGCGCCATGGTGCCGCGGATGGAATCTTGGGAGTTGAGGGTAGCGGATGTGCTGGTTGATGAGGTGCTGATGAGATGCGTTGTGCGCGTTAGTTATTTTATGAGGGTTAAAGGGGTGGACGAGGGGGATGTGGTGGAGAATGATGTTTTGTGGATGCTGGGATTTGAGAAGGAGGCCGAGGGCGAGGGGGTCAAAGTTTGTACGAGTGTCGAGTTTGTGGATGGGGTTGCGGCGGGGAGGTTGAGGGAGTTGATGGGGAGGTGAAGAGATGTATGGTACTTTTCACTGCGTTTGGAACAGTTGATTGGACAAAGGACAGGAATATGTTTGGATATTGGTTCAATCTCTACTTTTCAATCTGCTCTTTGAATACCATCTGCCCAACTCGGCTCAATCGCACTACAGACATCTACATATGCATCCCACCGCCTCATCAGCATCCTTTTCTCTGCCTCCACACTACCCCATTTCTCAGCCGCCCATCTCTCCTCCACACCCTGCGTAGTCCAAAACATAGTCCACTGACCGCCAGGTAGATTCCACATACCCTTACTCCTCTCTTGATACCATTTATTAACTGGATTGCTAGTCCGGCTCCTCCAAACGACGCCCTCAGGAAAACATGTGCGTGTAAGTGCCGCCCAGACGATATCCGAGACGCCGCCTGAGCCTTGGGATGATGTCAGAACGGCAAACTTGTCGAGATAGGGAATCCAGTATGGTGAGTCTGGGGATGAGGAAGGAGGTAGATCGAGTCCCTGGAGGGATCTGGGCGTCTCCCATGTACAGATTGCACCGCCTTCGTAGTCACCTGCTATAATGATACCGGCGACGCGACCACGGATGCGGTCGAGGTAATTCTGGGGATGAAGCTTTCTTCGGAAAGAATCATCAATGAGATCCACGAGCTTGGGGAAGTTGATGCGCGAGTCGTTTGCCAAGTCGATGCTCGGATTTGCGGCGGAGGGTGGCTGCCACGGCCCATAAGTCCGCGGATCGGGTATCATGGTAAGTGGAATGCCTTTTTTGAAGAATGTAGCTGGATTTGGGGCGGCGGATCCCAGAAATTTGGACGTGGGTGATGTTGGTAGTGATGAAGATGTCATCGGCTTGTCGGTCAAGACATTGTGCAGTAAAGGATTTTTCGAGGGTGTTGTTCGTGCATCGTCGGGTATGGCCTTGCGTGCAGCCTCGAATGGGGTGAGAATTAGACCGGATGAGGATGGGGGCAGCAGCTTCAGACCGCGTTGAACGACCTCAAGGTTTTTCAGATGACGCATAGGAGCTGAGCCGCCCAATTGATCGTTCGTCGTGCCTGCCGACGCTACTACCGGTTGTTCAACAAACTTGGAGAAGGGATTACCATTGCCAAGTGATGTGTTTGTCCTGTCACTACGCGTTTCGTTCATCAGCGAAAGCTGCTGTAGTTCCTGCTTGATGTCGTTGTATTCAGCTTCAAGATTAACAAAAACATGTGCGCCATCTGCACGTTTCTCGGATGGAATACCTCCCAGGGGATCCAGGATGATGATCCGATCCAAGATGGGCTTATTGGTAGTATCTGCCGTCTTCTTTTCTGTAGCTTCTTGCGAGTCATTAGCATTGGTATAGCTGGCGATACCAGAAAACTCGCGGATCAACGCAAGCAACACATCGTCTGCTTGGACTCTGACTTTCTTCAGATTTGTGTCGTATGCAAAAGGCGTGATTACAGGGATGACACCTTCATCAATGGGCGGAAAGAGCAGGTAGTTGTGTTGTACTTGTACTTCTCCACGGACTTGAACGGTACTGGGCATGTTTTTTGTTAATGGGGTGCAGCCCAGGGCGTCCTCGACGAGTAATGCGCCGGGCTCATTGTAGTCCTCCAGTGCGGCAACCATGCGTAATGCTTGTTCTCGGACCATGTTGACATAGTCGGATTGGATATTTGTGGTGAATGGACCCATGTCTTCGTCGCAATCCAGTACTACTGCCACGCTGAAACCAAGTTGAGCCATTTGGCTCAACGTCAATGCTATATCGCCTAGTACGCGGTCGTCGAGCGTCTGCGGCTGCCGAAGCTTGACCAGCGCCAAGTGTACTGGCTCATCTTTCTCTTCAGCCTGGTACTGCTCTTCTGGGAGCGGTTCGCGTGTGAAGACGGTCGGCTTATACAAGTCGCCCAAATTAACGCCAGTCCGCAATGACCCTAATTCGGGAGATTTGTTTGCACTAACATTTTGCTTCGCTTGAGCGGCGACATCAGCCTTGTTCTTCTTGGGTGCGTCGAATTGCTTGAGAAAATTGCGTGCGTCGCGTTTTCCAGGCGACTCCTTGAGCAGGCGGGTGAGCTGCTGGCGTTCTGCGCGTTGGCGCTCTTTCGCAGAGCTCGAGGATTTGCGGATGTAGGTGGTCGATGTCGAGAGGTATGTATGTTGGGTTTTTGCCAGCAACTTGATCTTGTCATCGCATTTGGGAAGCTGTCGTGCTGTTAGCAATGGCGGCGCGCAGTTATTCGAATCCGCTCAAAATTTCGACACGCACATTCTGCGTAGACTTCCCCAAGCCCCTCGCGGGGGCTTTTCTCCAGATGAACATGCTTCATCCCTCCGTCCGGTTAATCTAAACACCAAAGTCCAACGGTATAAAGTCGTTGAGGGCTTGGAGTCGAATGTATGACTCCGTGAAATGCGTGAATATTTGCGCCCACCCTAAACTTTGATAGTAACGGCAGTTGCACGTCATTTGCTCGCAACCGACATCGGCCCGTTGGCTCTACTAACCCCGGCAATCGACGGCCCATGAACACCATGACGACGACACGTTAACTGTGCAACACACGTTGGCTATATTCAAACAGTATCGAATCCGCGTCTTACTCCCAAAAAGCAAACACAGCTCACGTCTGTTTCGAAGCATTCTAGAAAACATGGCCCCGCAACTCGCTTGGATCGGCCTCGGTAACATGGGCAGGGCAAGTCTAGCCGACTACGTTTATTCACAATGTCACTAATCAGCACAGGGCATGTAAGTTAACGCAATTGAAGATTATTGGCGCTATCACAGGGTTTTGCTGTTGAATGTTCAAGAGTGGTGGAACCATGGTCACTGCTGAGTCGTTGAAAATACACTAACCAAACACCCACCACCAGGTGCAAGAACCTCGTGGAGAAAGGTGACCTTGACAAGCCTCTGATTCTCTACAACCGTACCAAAGCCCGTGCGGAGGACCTCTCGCAGAAGCTCGGCACTTCCAAGACCAAGGTTGTCGACAATGTCAATGATGCCGTCAAGACTGCCGACATGGTCTTCATGTGTCTTGGTGATGATGCCTCAGTCAACACCATGGTGGATACCATACTGCAAGAAGATGTAAAAGGCAAAGTCATTGTAGACTGCTCAACAGTACACCCAGACACAACCAACAGCCTGGAGCAGCGCATCACCGAGCACGGTGGAGAATTCGTCGGCATGCCTGGTACGTAAGCCCATGAACGTACCAAGACCATGACTCCACCGCGATCCAGACTAACAATCATGTTGCGCACAAGTCTTCGGCGCCCCAGCCATGGCAGAAAACGGCCAGCTAATCTGCGTCGTAGCGGGCAAAAAGGCCGCTTGTGACAAGGTAACTCCCTACACAACAGGCGTAATGGGCCGCACCACCATCGACTACTCGTCCCAGCCCGCCGGCAACGCCACGCTTCTGAAGGTGATCGGCAACACCTTTATCCTAAACATGGTCTCGCAGCTCTCCGAAGGCCACGTTCTAGCTGAGAAATCCGGGCTGGGTGTCGATAACCTGCATACGTTTGTCTCGGCCTTGTTCCCTGGCCCCTACACGGCGTACTCGCAGCGCTTGCTGGCCGGCGACTACTATCAGCGCGATGAACCGCTCTTCCACGTGGATCTCGCACGAAAAGATGCGCGCCACGCTATGGCGATTGCGCAAAGTAGCGGCGCGGGGGATAGCATGAAGATGCTTGCGCTTGCGCAGGCACGGCTGGACGTCGTGAAGAGCGAGTTGGGGGATAAGGGCGATATACCGAGTATATACGGTGCGGTGCGCAAGGAAAGTGGGTTGGATTTTAAAAACAAAGATTAAATCACCATCAACGTACAATGCCTACCATTGTCACAAACTCCATACATACTACCAGCTACACTCACTCGTCTTTGTCCTTGTCCTCCTCCTCCTCTAAACCCCGTCTTCACATCTTCGTATACCCCCCCACCTACCCTCCATCTGACTGTCGATAAACCTACCGCTACCAACCTCCCCACCGCCCCCATCGGGAGCTTTTTACCACTGTCCCCTCACGAAACAGCGGGCATACATACCCAAAGAACCCCTCCAACAGCTGACCTTGATCCACCCCCCCCACCACGACGGTGCCCAATCCTGCTGCATTTCGGGGGCTACTCAACCGAAAAGCTACAAGCCCCCCATGTTAGCATCGGCGTAGTTGCATCCCCCACAAACGTCATCAAACGGCGCTAACCCACTTAGCGCCGCGATCCCCAGACTTACCCCAGCTTTTTTTTTGTGTGCCTTGGTCATGCTTTGCCGTTTGCCTTTGCATGGGTGTCAAATGGCTGGGGAGCTGGGGGTATGGGCGAATCGCTTGGCTTTTCGACGGGTTTCTTTCTAGGTTTGGTTGTTTGCTTGTGCTTGGCGGGGGTGTGGATTGATCCCGATAATTTTGCCGCACGGCGGCGCGGTAGGTGGTGACATGAGGAGAGAGATGAGGGGGACCCTGCAGTGTCTATCACTCTCTTTTGATCGACGGGTTTCTTTCTTACTTTTCCTTTATTCTTCTTCTTCTTCTTCTTCTTCTTCTCTCCTCTCTTCTTTTCCTTCTCTTACTTTTTGGAGATTGGAGGTATAAAAGGAGAAGAAGATAGTATATTTATACATATACACGAGTTTACTTTGAGGTAAACCTTATCGTAAGCGCGCAAGCAATCATGGGTTTTCTCCGACGTCCCAGACTACGGAATCGCGATGATCAGCGCACGCGGGCGGCGGAGCTCACGCTGAGAGAGAGTATTGGGCCATTGTGTCTTGTTACGATTTTGTTTTTTCTATGGGTGAGTTATTCTTTTCCTGCTCGACATTGCACCAAAAGCGGTGATGATAAGTACTGACGAGTTGGGTCTTACTAGGGCTTCTCGTATGGTCTCATTGATACGCTGAACAAGCACTTTCAAAACACGCTGGGAATTACGCGGTCGCGCTCGTCGGGACTGCAAGCTGCGTACTTTGGTGCGTATCCGCTTGCGTCGCTGGGACATGCGAATTGGATCTTGCGACACTGGGGGTACAAGGCTACGTTCATCTGGGGTCTGACGCTGTTTGGCATCGGAGCTCTGCTTGCATGGCCGTGCTTGGTGTACCGCTCGTTTGGCGGCTTTTGTGCGGCCACTTTTGTGATTGGAAATGGACTTGGATCGCTGGAGACGGCGGCGAACCCGTATCTTGCAGGTATGTTTTTGGTGGGGTGGTATAGTGGCAAATTGGAAGAGGTACTGATGTCTCGTAGTTTGTGGACCGCCAAAGTACTCGGAAATCAGAATCAACATTGCGCAGGCATTCAACGGTATTGGAACCGTCGTTGCGCCCGTACTGGCCTCGTATGTCTTTTTCGACAACGTAGGAACGGACCAAAAGTCATTGGAGAATGTGCAATGGACATATCTGGGCATTGCATGCTTTGTCTTTGCACTGGCAGTCGTGTATTACTTTACCGACATTCCAGAGATTACTGGTAGGCTTCACATGACGTGCAAATTGGGATTGATGGCTAACAAGAATCAGATGCCGACATGGCCTTTCAGGCTGAGAGCGCGAATGCTGGCACCGACGTTGAGCCGTTCCGCAAGCAGTACCGTCTCTTCCACGCGACGTTTGCTCAATTCTGCTACACTGGCGCACAGGTTGCCATTGCCGGCGCATTCATCAACTACGTTACTGAAACGCGCGTGAAGAATGGAATAGTGACAAGCAATGCTACAGCATCACGATTTCTCGCGGGCGCGCAAGGATGCTTTACGGCTGGTCGGTTTACGGGCAGCGCAATCATGAAGGTGACGAAGCCGCGATGGGTATTTCTTACCTTTATGACCATGTGCATCATCTTCATTATTCCCGCCATCACGGAGCGAGGCGACACGGGCATGAGCATGCTGTATGTTGTGCTCTTCTTCGAGAGTATCATTTTCCCGACCATTGTGGCGCTGGGCATGCGTGGACTGGGCAAGTATTCGAAGCGAGGATCGGGCTTCATTGTGGGGGGTGTTGCTGGCGGCGCTGTGGTGCCGCCTCTGCTCTTTGCAGCCAGCGACTCACGGGGCAAGCCGAGGCCGCTTGAGGGGTATGCGCCAACTGCGACTGCCATGACGGTGCCGCTGGCCTTTTTCGTGGCCGCATCGACGTACGCCTTCTGCGTCAACTTTGTGCCGGCGTACAGGAACGTCGTCGACTCCTTCTCGGCAGCCGAGATTGGCATCACCAACGCGCATGCCAATGATCCGGAGAACCAGATTGTGCACGGTGACAAGGCCGTGTCGCCGGACCATACCGAGCACGTTGATGGCGAGAAGAAGGCATAGGTGGTGGGTGCTGGGAGCTGTGGTGGCTGTGCATAAGTAACGGGGACGTGACAGGGGTGTGGACGTGTCGCGAGAGTGAGGTGAGGATGGTGTTTATAGTAGAGTAGTACATATCACGATGAAACAATCGAGTCATGACTGCGTGAAACGGGTCAGAATGGTGCGAGTGCTTGCTGACATGACGGGACCAGGGGGGGAGGCGGGGAGGATGGAGGGTGATGGAGGACAGTTGCAGGGCCTCAAAGGCAGCGCGGCCCCGCAACCACCAGGCGGCCCCGCGTACTCTACAGCAGCACGACGACGGCGGCGGCCATGGCAGCCATGATGCGATTGGCGGCGACGGCTGGGCGAGGCTGGCGCGTACAGCATTGTTGCAGGTATGCGTATGCGGCAATGGGTTGGTTTGTTGCAAGGGCAGCATAGCCTCAATTTAGAGCCTGTCAGCAGCGGCCGGGCTGGCCGTCTTTGTTCGCATGCATGCAGGTGGGAGGGTGAAGACGGAGAGGTGGATGTGCATGGTTTGGGCCGCGGGTGGTGGTGGTGGTGGTGGTGGTGGTGGTGGTGGTGGTGGTCGTCGTCGTCATAACCACAAGCAAAAGACGGGGAGTCGATGCGCGTGCATGTGTACATGTGTGTCTGGCTGAGTATCGAGCAGGCTGGTGGTGGAGATGGGTGCTTGGGTATTTGGTGGTGAGAGTATTGGCTCGTATACTGCTACGTAACCAAGTCCACGGCCATGTGGTGCGTATGCGTAGGACGAGCCCGGGGCGGCGGGCACGGGCAACTGCAGGTGCCGAGCAGCCGTGCGTGTGCCTGACAAGAGAGCGAGAGCGAGAGGCAGAGGGCGAGACCAAGACTGACAGGCACAAGTCTCCAAACCTCCAATTCTCCCACAGCCCACGCCCTCTGCGTCGCATCGCAATCGCCGCCCCAAGCCAGCACGAAGAATGCGGTCGTCATGGACAGGAGGGCCCTCTTCTTCCCGTGGTAAGCGCGACGCATCTCGACTGCTTCACTACCCACGTACGTCCATAGATGGTACTGACCAAGCACACAGCGGCCTCGTCCTAGCATCCGCCTACCTGACCACCCCAGCCCCCGTCGACTACTCCTTTGCCCTCGACAAGCCGCTGCACACCACCGCCCTCGTCCTGCTTCTCACCGGCCTTGCCCTCGTCGTCGTCGAAGCCTGGTCCTCCCGCCGCCGCCCTCATCATCACCAGCACCAGCCCTTGTCAGCCACCACCTATGTCGCATTCGCCCTCAACAACGTCCAGACCAGACACCCTGGCGAGGAGATCTGGACAGAGGCCGGACTCCATGCCCCCCGCAGACCATGGGGCCTGAGGGCTGTCGGCGCTCTGCTGGCTGTGCTACTCCTCGCCATATGCGGTCGCATCGCCATATTCTACCGCGTCACCACGCACGTCGAGTGCACCGGCCCTTCTCCTTTGGTGCGCACCTCCTTCCCTTTCCTCTCCAACCTCCCCCCCATGCTAAACCAGCCCAGGCATTTCTCCCCCTCGTCGTCGCTCTCTACCACAGCCTGCGCCATCCCAGTCTGCGCCAGTACCCCGCCTGGAGTGCTGACACCCGCATGCGCTCACCTCTCGACCGTGTCTTTGGCTTCGTCTTCAACGGCTCCACGCGCTACATTATTCCCTCGCTCCTGTTCGCCATCAGCACCTTCCTTGTCAGCATCAAGTCGACTACCCTGCGCTCCTCGTACATCTGCCCCATTGCAAACGCCGATGCCACGGCCGTTCCTTCGCTGCAGTTCGTCGGTTTTTTGCTAGACTGCCTCATCCTTCAGGTCCTCTACCGCCTCGTCGATGATGGCGTCTCAGAGCCCGACGATTGGTCTATCCTCCTCCAAGACGGCACCTCCAACCATGTCCTGGTTGGAATGACTTTTATTGTAGGCCGCGTCTCACAAATCTCCACCACCCCATTTGCTAACCATATCAGGCCTCCTCCCTCGTTCTTGTTGTTGCCGGCATTGTCATCTACCCCACAATGCCCGAGCATCGCGAGTGGATGCTTTCGTTTTCTTCCGACTATCTCCTTGGTCTTTTGCGTTTATCGTTGATGATACCCTTTACGACGTTATGTTTTGTAAAATCTGTACGTCCTCATCTTCCCCCCTTCTCCCCGCTTTGAACCCCTGCTCACCCCACACAGGCTCGATTGTATGGCGTTATGAGCTCGGTGCTCACTGTTGCATTTTCTTCTGCATATATTGGCGTTCTTCGTGCACTCGGGACCGGCGTGTCCCATGCGTTCCCACCAAAGTCCACGGTTGGACTAGTCTTGTGTTTTACATTGCTTACCATTGCACTCATCCTTCACCTCCTAACAGATACCAACATCGAAACCCGCATTCGGTCAAAGGTCGCATTTCGTCTTGGCAGAAACCAATCAGCCACGTTCATTGTCCTACTCATCGCCTTCTCCATAGGCGTTGTCGTATACCGCCGACAAGGTCCCCTGCTCGAACACCCAATCACTACGCTAATCGACATAGCTTCGGTGCAACACGACAAGTGGGCTTCGCAGGCACATCGGAGTAACTCATTGGCCGAGGCTGTAGTACATTACCGCCAACGCTACAATCGTGACCCACCACCCAATTTTGATAAGTGGTACAGTTTTGCCGTCAACCGGAATTCAATCGTAATTGACGACTACGACAACATCGAGCAGGACTTGGCGCCCTTTTCCTCCTTCAATCCTGACGACTTGCGCTTGCGCACGGCGACTGTCTTGGCTACCCGTCAAGCCGTGGGTGGGATCCGCATAAGAGATGGAAACGTAGAGGTTTTTGAAAATGTCGAAGAAGCGTATCGAGAGACCATGGACAGCGTGGCTGCCATGATCCAGAAGTTTGCCGAGTTTCTTCCAGATATGGATCTGGCTATAAACCTGCAGGATGAGAGTCGTGTGGCGGTTCCCTATGAGCGACTGCAGGACGCGCTGGATAATCCCCAGCCTTACCCTGTGTCTGATGCGACTCGCTCAGCCAAAGGCTTCAGTGCGGACCGCGCAGATAAATGGCTACACATCAACCGCGTTAGGACCGATCCACACTTTTTCGAAAATGCTCAAACAAAGCCTGTATTCGAAACGTATGGCTCCATCGCCTGTTCGCCTGACTCACGAGCCCGAAAAGAGCGCCATTGGAACACGAAAACATTTTGTCATACCTGCACGCAAGACCATTCGGTTGGTGCTTTTGTGTCCAATTGGACTCTGTCGGCTGATCCCTGCCACCAGCCTGATCTTGCCAATCTCCACGGCATGCACCTTAGCCCGTCGAACCTGATGGGCACTCACGACATTGTCCCCATATTCAGTCAAAGCCGTGCTCCTGGGTTTGTCGACATTCGGTACCCATCGCCCCGGTATTATGCAGACGAGAACAAGTACGGATTCGACGAAAAGTCACCTGACCCCCACTTTGCAGACAAGTTGGATGTGCTTTTCTGGCGCGGCACGACTACTGAAGGTGCGACTACGTACGGAACCTGGAAAGGCATGCTTCGCCAGCGACTTGTACATCTTTTGAACAATGAAACCTCGCGACAACCCATTCTTTTGCCAAAGACTGACCACAGCGGTCATTTCGAGTACATGCTCAAACGCACAAACGACATCAAGCGGCTTCTCGAAACCAAGACTGATGTACGTCTGGTTGGCCCAATTGCCCGTTGTGCCGGCTTAGACTGCATCGATCAGACGCGTGAGTTTGGATTCGCGGACCCCATCGACCTTCAGCAACACTGGCGCTACCGCTATCTCTTCGACACAGACGGCGCCGCCTTCTCGACCCGCTTCATTCCCTTTCTCCAATCAAACTCAGTCGTCTTCAAAGCTGCCCTCTTTCGCGAATGGTACGAGGGCCGTCTCACCGCCTGGAAGCATTTTGTCCCCGTCGATATTCGTCTGCACGACTTGTTTTCCAGCCTTGCGTACTTTGGTGGTTATGGCGTCGAGGAACGCAACAAACGCATGATGGAAGGGCATATCAAGGCTGCCGAGAAGATTGCACGAGATGGCAAGGTGTGGACAGAGAAGGTGCTTAGGAAAGAGGACATGGAGATTTACATGTTTCGTCTCTTGCTTGAGTGGGGTAGGCTGACGGATGATGCGAGAACTGAGGTGGGGTTTCGAATGGATAAGGGGCGGAGAAGTGAAGAGAGGGAAGTGCAAGAATTGTGAAGTGAAAGTCCAACTGACACTTCTTTGTTATAAAGGCGTTTCTATGGGCGGGATGGATAAGCATTGCACGGCGTTTTTTCTTCTTCTCCTTATCCTTTTGTTTTTTCCATATTTTCCATCTAGACTTTGCAAAATCCATACAATGTCTATTTTTTTTTTGCTCTCTACCGCAAAAATATTTCATAACACTACTACAATACCAACAACAAACAAATATCCTCAGCACCTCACTCTCCTCTTATGACTTGGACTATCCATCCAACTACCCCCATACCCTCCCTCTTCTCCCTCCTCATCATCATCCTGATCCACATCCCTCAAATCAATCCCCGTAACACCATCGGGGTCATCATCATCCTCGCCACCACCAGGACTCCAAACAGGGCTCGTCGCAATCAACGGTCTCGACTTGAACACGCGGTCATAATCCACCTCGTCGCTAAACAGTTGTTCCGTAGGCGTACGTTCAAGACCCGGGCTTTCCTCTCCGGCATCTACTGGTTCCACGCTGCCTTGGCGCAGCATTTCAGCAGAGGACTGGCGATTCCGCGGCGGGGTATCGAATTGGTTTACGGGGTACAGACTCTGGCGGCCGCCGCTGGATTTGCGTTGTGGCTTTGACGGTTTGGGGCGGGGCACAGATTGCGATGCTACCATGCTCAGACGAGTGCGCTCAAGGAGGTCCGCGGCGGCGGGGTTGACGTGGTTGGCGGGGAGAGGGGGTGGTGCCATGGAGGGTAAGCGAAGGGGGGATTCGAGTGCGTTTTCAGACGAGTTTGTGCGGGACATGGTTAGGCGAGTGCGTTCGAGGAGGGAGAGGGACATGCGGGGTTGGGGTTTCTTGACGGGGGATGGGGTGGCGTTGCCGATTGAGTTTATGATTTGATCGGCCATTGCTTCGTCGGGGTCTAGGATGGGGGGTTCGAAAGTTGGGACTGGGGGTTCAGATGGGTAGTCTGACAGTACGTTTGAGGCACGCTCATTTGGCGAGGGCGAGGCTTGCTGGACTGTGAGAGTCACGGTGGCTTCGGGACTCTCGGCCTTAGGTGTTCCCTTCTTACGAGGTGGTGTAGGTGGCGGAGACTTTCGTATCGGCGACCCAGCATGACGAGCTGCCGGTGGTGAGCTACGAAGCGCAGAAGCTTGGCCAACTAGAGTTGCCTCTGAATCAATTGGTGTAGACGCCGCTGCCACGTGGTGTGAGGGCTTCGGCAGTATAGGCACTTTCTGCAGAGAATTGGGTCTTGCAAGATGTTTAGGTTTTGGTGGGACTACTGGGCTAGTCGGTGACGCAGGTACCGGCTCAGGCAGGGTCGGTTTTCTCTTCGGGATCGGCGATTGGACTTCTTTTGCGGGTGAGGCACGTCGTCGCGGTAGGATAGTGGATACAGGACCTGCTCGAATCTTCCCGGCATGTTGCAATTCCACATCCATATCAGACAGGATGTCGCGATATTCGACTCGCATTGCTGGCCGTTTAATTGCCGTTTGCTCCACTGTCTGCTTCGAAGGCGGCAGCTGGTATTGGGAATGGGCGTCAAACTTGAGTTCTTTGATCGGCGCCACACGCTTTAAATTGACTCGGTTCTCTTTTCCAGAGGCATCATTCTGCAACTCTTCATGAAAGTCCTTCCATTTCTGCAGCCGCTCCTGCTGCTCCTGCACTCTTGATTGAAGATTCTCCAGCAATCCGGTCTCTGGTGCGACATCCTCGAGCTTTCGTCCTTTCTCCACCATGTACCAGACCTTATCAAACCGGGTATTGAGGAAAGCATCTCCTGTATGAGTTTCCTCTCCATGGAGCATGACATTGAGCCACTTCTGATTCCCTATCCAGTTGTCTTTGAGCTGCCTCTTGACAGCATCTGCCTCCTTCTGCGACACAACAGGCTTCTGTGCGCGAGGACTATCTTTGCACTTTTGTATACGGCGATTGATATCTTCTGCCTTCTTATCCAGCATTGCTTCAAACTCCATGTACTTTCTTCTCTTTTCTTCCTTCTTCTTCAACACGTTGACTAGTGCTGCGCGGTGCGCAATTGCCAATGGAAGCAGTGACTGTTGCTGGTCGATTGGAAGCATTGGTGCTGTTGCTAGTCTTCTTGCAACTGCCTCATCCCGACCTCCTCCATCCCGCGCTGCAAGCACCTTCTTCAGGGTGACATTTGAAAATATAGCAAGGATTTCGTAAAACTTGTCGCCCTTGCACTCATCCAGCATCGTCTTCCTGAGAACAGACTCCCTCCCCAGTACACCATTCTTCTTCAACTCGTTCAAGCATCGGAAGAGCGCGGCGCGGAGGTTCAGCGACTGAAGTGGTTCGAGGGGTGGAAAGAACGGCTGTAGCTTCTGTGATCATGTCAGATGCAGAATCTACATGCACAACCAGTCCAAGTATACCTGCGCTGTCTCGCTGGGATCCCAGATCTCAAACAAGCGGAACAGTGCCCATTCGATTCCAGCGATCCTCTGCCGCTGATCCGCATTCTTGGCCGAGAAGGTTTGCACAGTAATGTCTGGCCAGTCGTCTCGCAAGTCAAAGTCTAGCAATCGCAAGTTGGTCACAAAGAGCCTGATATCAGACGCTGGCATGGGGTTCAATTGCTGCGGTTTCGCATTGTTTGCTTTGACAGATACGGTCCGCACGTGGCCGCTGGTCGTGGTAGCCGTGGTGGTCGTAGAGGAAGCCGAGGTAGTGCGAGACATGCTTGCAGTCGCAAAAGAGACATGCGCGCAACCGGGACCTGGAAGAGAGAAAGAGAGTGAGTTGCCAGTGCTGGTTGATGATGTGTAAGTATGCATGCGTTGGTGTTGCGGTGTGACGGGCCCTGCACTGTTTGCCAAGCCGGGCCCTATCGATAGTCGCGTTCGCGCTTTGCTGATCCCGGTTTGACCCTTGTTCATTGTCGACCGCTTTCTCGTCACTGGCCAAACGCTTTGTCTCGGCTCCCCCCACGCATCATACATATATATCTTGTGTCTCTATAGAGGTATCACAACCTGAGTCAGTAGAATCAGTACATCGCAACTATGACCGTCGACGAATCAACTCAGACCAATGGTGTCCCCGAGCCCAGCGCCGGCAAACTCGAAGCAAAGGATGCGCAAAAGCAACAGTGGACAGTTGAGAGCGGTATGTCATGAATTAAGCAATGGCTCGTCCGTATGCGAAACCTCTCTTTTCCCTTTGATTGTATCACTATTAAGACTGCCCTGCTAACCTGTCCCTGCAGTACTCGCAGACATCAAACCCCGCAACGCCGAACACACTGACTCGCCCGTTCCCTTCTTCCACCTACTCGAGCGCCTCAAGACAACAAAGCGAGCGGGCTGGCGCCGCTTCGGCATCTCAGACTGCGAGTCCATCGCCGACCACATGTACCGCATGAGCATCCTCACCATGATGGCTCCCTCGTCTCTCAGCTCCAAACTCGACATCCTAAAGTGTTGTCGCATGGCCGTCATCCACGACATGGCCGAGTCGCTCGTCGGTGACATCACACCCGTCGACGACGTCAGCAAGGAGGAGAAGAGCCGCAGGGAGACAGAGACTATGGATTACATCTGCACCAACCTACTAGGAAAATTCAATGGCGGCATGAACGGACAGGATGTCCGCGCAATCTGGCAAGAGTATGAGGACAGCAAGACGCCAGAGTCGCACTTTGTCCATGACGTCGACAAGATTGAACTCTTGGTCCAGATGGTCGAGTATGAGCGCAAGTATCAATGTGAAAAGGATTTGGGCGAGTTCACGTGGGTCGCAGGACGCATCCAGAGTGATGAAGTCATGGCCTGGGCAAAGCAAATATTCCGCGAGAGGAAACAGATGTGGAAGGAAGCAGGCAAGACGCCTACATGGAGGGCAAACACAGAGCCTGAAGATTAAGAGAAGAAGAAAGAAGAAGAAAGAAAACCCAGCATGGCGGGAGCATCTTTTACAGGGAAGTTTATGAATGTGAGCACACAGTGGGAGTAAAGGAATAGACGGAGTATGGTGGTAGAACTTTGTTATCACATCAACGAAAAAAATTAAATATTTAACATTTTGGAATAACCCCAACTTCTGAAAAAGGTATATACATCAAGGACTCGACAAACTAACCAGTCGTCTCTTCTTCGTCTCCTTCGCCACGGGCGTCGAAATCCCCGGCGACAATCTCATCCCATCTCCCACCACGCTTCCGCTCCCCGCACCCATGTAATCCCATCCTACTGCACCACCACCACCCCAACTCTCCGGCCTCGCATACTCACCCTCTCTAATCTCCGCTCCACTCCTCCTTCCATGCCAGTAGCACAAGCCCTGACTGGGCCCCACATACTTGTCGTGCAGCGGGCATAAGGGGCTATTAGGAAGATGCTCAGGAACCAACCACTCGAATTTCCTGCGCTCCTCTTCCTCCTGGCGTGCCAGCGCAGCCACAGTGTACGAGTCGCGCAAATCAGCGTTGTCTTCGTGGTTGACGCGGTACCAGCCGTCGTGGCCAAGCATGGGTGAGTTGGCAGCGAGCGAGGGGCTGAGTGGGGGTTTTATGCCTAGGAAGCCGTGGGTGCTGTGGGTACGGTGGTGGTTATGGTTGGCTGTTTTTTCAAATATGGAACGGGAATGGAGGCCATTACGAAGGGGACCTTCTGGGCCTTCGTCGTCTTCGTCGTCTTCTTTTGTGGCAATGCCGGTGGATAGACTCATTAAGAGGGCGTCAGAGTCCCAGTAGCCTTCCGAACCGGAGAGGGGTTTTTTGCGGGTGCCTTTTGCACTGCCACTTTGGAAGTCGAAGAGGAAATCTGCTAATTTGCCTTTGACTTCGCCGTTGATGTCGTACAGGGGTGGTATTGGCACGCGACTTAAACCGGGTGGGGTGAATGCGGGTGGAACTGGGATATGTGCCAGCGACGGCGATGGGTATTGGCCTTTCTTATCGTGGCTTGTAGGATCACTCGAGCTTGCCTTTTTGTTTGACAGTTCTAGGGCGGCTTGATCGAAAAGGCGATTTGAGCGTTTGAAAAGATTCATGGATACCCGACGTTTGGAAGGTTCTGTTCCAAAAGCCGGGGCTGCATCCTCACTAGAAGTCATGTATCTCTCTCTCCACCGACGAATTCGGGATTTCATCGAATCTTGGGCCACCTGTTGTAAATCTGTTGTGGTGCGGGCTTGCATTGTTTCATCAGCCAGCGTCAACTCTTCAACAGGCACCTGAGCTACATCTAAATCGCTTGTATTTGTACCATTTCTTGACCTCTTTGGGAGTGGAAGACTTATGCAATGCCGGTGTCTCACCTTCGCTGGCAGCCGTTCGTGTGTTGGTGGCTGCAAGGAGTCCAGTACGTCGTTACCAGGCAAAAGTCCCTTGCCACGGTGGTTGTCATTGTTCAACGTTGTGATATTATCGCCCATGTCATCTTCTTCTTCGATTGGCGATGACTTGGCCCTCCGGTCCGATTCCCATCTTGGCTGCTCGTTGCGAATCCATGGTGTTTTAGGACTGTGTGAACGAGGAGCAGCCAGATTGCCTGCCATGTCGACCGGATAACGGCTACGAGCTGGCAGATCTGGTACATTTTTCGGCATCGATAAATCGAGGTCGACTTTCCGGCGGGCCCGAAGCCCGCTGCTTGCTGGTGGTTGCGTGTTTGCCGGTGTAGCGGGCTTTTCGACCCCTCTTGATGGCTCGTCAATCACAACGGTCAAGTTCGAGAACTTCTCATTGCCACTGTTTGGATTAACAGACGGTTGGTGGGCGAAAAATAGGCTGCCCTCTTTTTTTTGTAGCTTTGAAATGACATCTTCTCTTGACTCTAGCCTTTGCTTATCTTCTTTGTGCTGTAGAGGGTACAGTATCCTAAAGTCTGGTACATGTCTTGTCATTCCCTTTGCAAAAGCCATGATCGAAGACCTACGATGGTCTTGAGCATTGTAGTCGCTCTCGTTGCTGGAGAAGGACTCGACTAGGCCAATGGCGGTTGGCCCGGCCGATTCCATACTGTCAACATGGCGAAGTTTATTGTTTTGAATGTCGTTAGCATCATCAATATGAGTTGGTCTCATGATCTCTTCAAAGGATGGAGGCGACCTTGGTCGCTCGGGCTCTGTTGTCATTGCGTGCTGACTGTGCCTGTGGTGTCCGGTATGTGGTTGTTGACCCCAGCTGAAGCCTTCGCGCCTGGCGTCGTGCCTTGAGGCAGCACCACCGTCCTGTCCCGATGTTTCTGTTGCCAGGGTCTGGTCGGCATGCTCTTGCAATGTGGAGTAGTGCCTGGCGGGAGCTTTGCGCCAGATTTGCAGTGATGAATCTTGGGCGTCGCTGGCAGGCGAAGCATCCTGACCGGGGCTGTCTGGAGTAGTAGCCGAGTATGCCGCAGTGATGTCGGGTGCGTGGGGTTTAGGTATAGGCGCCGATAACATCGGCGGGCTAGCAACTGCTGCCTGCGTCGAGGAGAGAGTTGGCGCGTCGGCACCAGGTCAGTCGTGCATCCAGGTAGTTTACTAACAATCTGCTGCTTGGGAGCTTATCAATAGGTGTACCGCGAAAGAGGGTGTAATGGAGATAGGTGGCGGGTCATAGTAAAAAACAGCATGCTGCTATGGCCATGGATGTTCATCAATACGCATCTTGGTTTGCCGTATGGGGAAGGAGAAACAGGCGACAAGAGATCTTAACAGGGAAGCGGCCAGTCATGCCGGGCTGGTGCATACCCAACTTCCCAACCGGGCCACTAGTGCCCCAAACTAGACTCCACTAACACCATCCCTATGCCCACACATACAAACAACTATCCAAACAAGCAATTCAAACCGTGTGCCCTGGGTATCGTATCAAGCCATGTCTCGTTACACGTGATACTCTGCTCTCGCCTTATCCTGACGACCCGGACGTTGCCTGTACCACGCTCGTGCCGTCAACAAAGCGCGTGCGGAAAATGCGATTCGCATTCTGGAACATGCCGTCCTTCAGACTGACGACAATGAACTGCGAGCCCTTGAACCTGGTCTTGAACAGGCGGCCAATGTTTTGTGTATGCGACAGATCGAGCGCAGCGTCAACCTCGTCCAGAATGTACATTGGCGCAGGCTTGAACTGCAGAAGGGCCATGATAAGCGAGAGCGCAATGAGAGACCTAAGCCATGTCAGTGTACTTCGGGTAAGCGCAACAATCCCATGCTTACCTTTGACCACCACTCAGCTCGGTCAAGGACTGTTTCCACACCTTGCCAAGCATCACCTTGACCTCCAGTCCGTCCGAAATCGTCTTGCCTTCGGGAGGATCAAGCTTCGCAAAACTACCAGGCAAGAGCTCGTTGAAGATTTGTCCAAAGTCGCGGTTGACAATCGACCATGTCTTGTGCAACGCCTCTTTCTTGTACTCGTCCAGCTTGACAATGGTTTCTTCAATCTTGGACTTGTCTCGAACCACCGTCGACATGTTCTTCTTGAGACTGGCTTCCTTCTTCTCCACGCTGTCAATCATGGCCATGACTTTGGGGTTGATCTTGTTCTTCTTTTGTTGGAACCGCTCTTCCAGCGACTTGCGCCGGGCCTTTGCGTCCGACATGTTTACTCCCTTGAAGTCGTACACTGTGCCAGGCCGACCGAAAAGCTCTGAATCATTGGCAATGAATTCGTACTCCTTCTCAAGTGCTTTAATGTGGCCCTCTGCACCTTCTTGTTCCTTGTGGAATCTTTCAATCTCGTGACCCAACT